GAAGTCAGAGGTGTTTTCCCGTGGAAATATTAATAAAGTAATTAACTTTATATATTTTAGAAATAAACCCCTAAGAAGGTTGATTTTGGAGCAGTAATCGCTTCTCTGAAGTTGTTTGTGTTTTTGAGCCTGGTATTGTAGGGGTCGATTTGATCAGAGCAGAACTACTGGAGGTAATCCGTTAAAGCCCTCCAAACACAGGTGAGGGGATCCTGACCCCTGCACATACAGGCAGGTGAAGCGGACCTTAAATCGGCTGATTTCTGACTGTAGTTCGGCGGCAGCGGCTCGACTTTGCGTTAACCTCCCGTCAAACAGCAGCTCTTCCTTTCCGCTCACCCTTTAACGCCTGCAGCTTGTCCTCTTCGTCCCTAACGCCGTCTTTTCTCACACCGGAGTCTCCATCAGCATCTGCGGCCGTCATGCTGTTTCGGTCCGTCCCCATAAAGCCCCCGGTCGCAAACACTGAAACGGAACAAAATCCTATTTTCTCAGAGACTAAAAAAATAAATCCGAAACATGTGGCGAACTCAATAAAATAGCACCATCGGTTTGATTTTCACTACATTTTCATTTTAATCGCTCTAGATGTTTTATTCAGAAGAGACAGAAACAAAATCCCGAACCATAGATCGTCTATTATCCTTCGAGGGAAACAGATTGAACCTCACACTGAAAGCGAGATGACTTACTACAATACATTTAGTTCCTAAATGGAAACATGCACAGAATAGGAGGCTGCTGTTATGATTATTTCGGTCATGTGAAAAAGCAGCCCATCCAAAGGCCTGAAATAGTACATCGATTCCTCACAGACTATTTAAATTAGTTCTGACCTTTAAAATATAAACAAAGTTGGAATCATAAGACCTGTAGGTTCTGGAGTATGGAGGACCAACTCTGCCATATTTAAAAATAAATACAGAAATAAATAAATGATGAATAAATATATAAGCATACAATTAATTGCCAACAAAAATACAATAAACAAATAAATGTAAGTAGAAATTAAATTATAAAGCGAGACATAAATGTATATAACTTTTAATTAGCTTCTTTATTTATTTGCCTTTGTAATATTTACTTTATTTATTTTTTTGTCCTTTATTTTTTTTTATATATTTCTGCCTTCCCTTTTTACATTTCTGCCTGTCCTTTTTACATTTCTGCCTGCCCTTTTTACATTTCTGCCTGCCCTTTTTACATTTCTGCCTTCCCTTTTTACATTTCTGCCTGCCCTTTTTACATTTCTGCCTGCCCTTTTTACATTTCTGCCTGCCCTTTTTACATTTCTGCCTTCCCTTTTTACATTTCTGCCTGCCCTTTTTACATTTCTGCCTTCCCTTTTTACATTTCTGCCTGCCCTTTTTACATTTCTGCCTTCCCTTTTTACATTTCTGCCTGCCCTTTTTACATTTCTGCCTGCCCTTTTTACATTTCTGCCTGTCCTTTCTACATTTCTGTCTGCCCTTTTTACATTTCTGCCTTCCCTTTTTACATTTCTGCCTGCCCTTTTTACATTTCTGCCTTCCCTTTTTACATTTCTGCCTGCCCTTCTTACATTTCTGCCTGCCCTTTTGACATTTCTGCCTGCCCTTTTTACATTTCTGCCTTCCCTTTTTACATTTCTGCCTGCCCTTTTTACATTTCTGCCTTCCCTTTTTACATTTCTGCCTGCCCTTTTTACATTTCTGCCTTCCCTTTTTACATTTCTGCCTGCCCTTTTTACATTTCTGCCTGTCCTTTTTACATTTCTGCCTGCCCTTTTTACATTTCTGCCTGCCCTTTTTACATTTCTGTCTGCCCTTTTTACATTTCTGCCTGCCCTTTTTACATTTCTGCCGGCCCTTTTTACATTTCTGCCTGCCCTTTTTACATTTCTGCCTGCCCTTTTTACATTTCTGCCTGTCCTTTTTACATTTCTGTATGCATTTCTGTGTCATTATGCAAATGAGGAGGGGGTGTGTCCTAGAGAGTCAACTTCTGCCCAGGCAGCCCGGCAGCCAGGTCTAACGGCAGCCCGTCTGCAGCGGCCCTCTCTCGGCATAGCCGTGTGTGAAGCGTGTTGGTTAGCATTTTACTACATTGGTCGAATCTACAGGAGGAAAGTCTGATGTCGAGTCTGAAGTCATTAGAACGCGAGTAGGGACTTTGCCAAACTTTGCCAAATACAACAAAAAATCGCCATCATAGCCAGCGGTCCTTCACACACGGCTATGCCGAGAGAGGGCCGCTGCAGACGGGCTGCTGTTAGACTTGGCTGCCGTGAGGTTCGGAGCTCCGCTGGTTGCCGTTGTCCTCTCAAGTTCGGAACATTTTCTTTTAAATTACGCTTTGAATCTGTGAATGGGCCATATGGTGATGCTTAAAAGTATAATTTTCTCGCCTCAAATAATCTTAAAACTTACTTTTATTGAACAACAGCAACAGAAAAGAGAACTTAGATTACACTTAGTACTCTGAGCTCTGTGAGTTAAGAAGATGGACCGCCAACCAATGAATAGAAGTTGACTCTCTAGGACACGCCCTCTCCTCATTTGCATAATGAGACAGAAATGCATACAGAAATGTAAAAAGGGCAGATAGACAGGGGCGTGCACACATAGACACTAGGTGGTGCTAAAGCACTAGGAAGTTTGCCCTTTATCAACGAAAATGCCCTTTTGAAACTCGTTTTTTTTTTTTTTATTATTATTAATATTATTAAGATTTTACTGAGGTCAGTTTTGAAATGATCTTTTGAAAACCTGAGGCATTAAAAACGACTGAAACAATGCCCCGAAATGAGCCACCTCCTTACGCACACCCGACCAGCCTCTCTCTCTTCCTTTGTCACGTGAACTCGCGCGGTCGCCTGCAGTGCATGCCAGATGTGCAGCATCTTGGCAGTTCAGTAAGCGTCTTCAGATAGCAGGAACGCTCGCTGACAGGCTGCTTCTCCCGTGCCCCATTAGCCAGGTAATATACAGATCAAGCAAAATAATTTTATTGTACATTAAAATGTCTCATTCAGCAGCACCAAACAAGCATTTTTGCCGACTGGCCACCTGATAAACTAGTTAGGCTAGATAAAGTTTTACACTGTAGCCCAAGTCAATGACAGATAACGTGAGGACGACCACATAGGCTACAAATAATTTCGGTAGAGTTTGCAATTGCAAATATATGTGTTAAGACAAACGTTTTCTGTTGTATAGGTTTTGTTAGGAAACATAAATTAACACATTTTGCTCTCTTTATTGTCTTAATTGTATATTGATTTAGTAATTGCAGCACAATGCCAAGAAAGGAGGGTTAATCATATTGAAAAATCTTAAAAGCTGTTCACATTTTATTTTTAAGTGGTTTGTACAAAATCAGCAGGTATTAAAATAGCTATTATTTTGTAGGCTACCATAAGTCATATCCACGTGACAAGACTTCCAGTCATGTTGTCCTAATAGCCCTTTATTTAAATGAATGTGGCATATTTGTTAAAGCAATTGTTATTATTATTATTATTATTATCATTATTATTATTATTGTCATGATGGTTATTATTATTATATTGTAGCCAGTCACAGCAGGGAAGCTCTATACCATCAACATCTACCAGGACAGGAGATGAGGAAGAGTTCAGGGAAGACACAGAGACAGAAAAAGACCAGGATGAGGGAGAGCAGATGGGTGAGGGAGAGCAGATGGGTGAGGGAAAACAGGGAGATGAGCCAGATGAAAGAAGAAGAAAGATGAGCAAGCGTACTAGTTTAAAGTACGCTTGCTCATCTTTCTTACGCTTTAGTCTGTTCTGTTAGTGGTGTGACTTTATTCCATTGAAAACTCACGTTTAGAGAATGTTACAAATATAAGTCAAAATTCATTCAACATGCATGTGTATTTTTTTTTATAATTAAGTGTTCCACGTGTGCAAATAAGTGCCCCCCCCTCCTGAGCACCTGCCCCCCAAAATGTCTGTGCACGCCTCTGCAGACAGAAATAAACAGCGGCGAAGAAATAACCAAGGTAAAAAAAATACAAAGGAAGAATAAAACAGACAAAAATATCATAACATGCACATAAATAAATACTTAAAAATATAAGTAATTAAAAAGTAAAGTTGAAGATTATAAAGGACAAAAAATAAATAAGGTAAATATTACAAAGGCAAATAAATAAAGAAGGTAATTAAAAGAGTTATATACAATTATGTCTCACTGTATAATTTAATTTCTACTTACATTTATTTTTTTATTGTATTTTTGTTGGGAATTAATTGTATGCTTATATATTTATTGAGCATTTATTTATTTCTGTGTTTATTTTTAAATATGGCAAGGTTGGTCCTCCATACTGGAGGGCTCACACCATAAATCCAGTTCTGTTCAGTTATGTGGTTGGTTTGCTGTAATGACATTATATTTTTTCTACATATTACGGAAAAGTCACGATGAACAATTTACAAATGCAAACATTCTTATTTATTTATTAATTGTAATATTTTGGTAAATCCCAAAAAACAAGACATCGATCAACTCATTTATTTTGACTGGAAAGTCGCAACTTAATGTGTCGGTGTTTTTTTTTTTTTTTTTTTTTTCCTGCGTAGTGAAATGTCCTGCCTACAATAGAAGATCTCAGAAGGCTCCAGCGGCTCTGCGGAGGATGGAGATGCTCTTCGCCTCCTCCTCATCTTTTTTCTTCCCTTAAACACCATCTAAACGCCCGGTAGCTCTGCTGCTTTCGGACCTGGATCAAAACCACCCCCAGAACCGGAACCAGTCTACGGGGATTTATCTGGGGACTGGGTCAGGGGGACGCAGACTGGTGGCTCACGCGCGTTTGTTTGTTTACAGAATAAAAATCTTATTTTTTTACAGTCATTAAATATTGCTTACTGCTTTGGGTTTGAGATGGAAAAGCTGGCGCGAGGATCATTTTTAGTGGCAGACCCGCGCGCCTCCCTTTGATTGTCCTTTCATCTTACCGCCCGCCCGCACGCGCGCGCTCACCTGTAGGGACTCATGTCTCAGATCCAGCACGCGGCTCCGGACGGACCGGGTCGGTATAATCAGATCTGCACGCGCAGCAACAGCTGCTCGTCCCCCGCCGCCCCCGGCTCAGAGCCGCCCTCCTGCCCCGGACACCGCAGCCGAACCCCCCACAGGAAGTGGCAGGTGTTCCCTGGGAGGAACCGGTTCTATTGCGACGGGCGGATCATGATGGCGAGGCAGGCCGGGGTGTTCTACCTGACCCTGGGTCTCATCTTCCTCACCAGCGGCCTCTTCTTCGCCTTTGAGTGAGTCACAGGTTTGTTTGTTTTTAAAAGGAAATGAAGTGGATAAAAAAAGAGCTGGGGTCTGATTTTTCTAAAACGTTAAACTTAAAATGTTCTTTATAAATGTAAAATAATTCCAGCTAGAGTATAGGATGGATTTTATGTGGAATCGTATGATTTGGGCCTGATTTACTGAGAATTAACAATCTGATCCACTATATGTTTGCTCATCAACTATTTTGACCCTTGAATTATTCCTATCAAAACATGTTGGCCCCTGAGTTGTTTGGTAATTAGCTATTTGGGCCCCTTTCTTTTTAGGCTCTTTCATTGAACTTGTGGGCCCCTGACATGTTGGTCCTTTGCTCTTTAAACTTTGACCCCTTCAGCTCTAGGACCTTTCCACCCTGTAAAGTATCAGGGTTTACATCTGAGGTGACAGATCCTGTCATCATGAATTAAACTTATATTAACAATCATCACAGGTCTGTTACTCGAATATTCAAACCTCACTTTATTACAGGCCCATGGTGCCTTGGGCCCCTGACTGCCTGGTTTCTTCAGCCTTTGGCCCTCAGGTCCCATCAGGTCCTTCGTGTCTGGACTGTTCAGACTAATGTGCTTGGACTGTAATTCATCAGATAGATGACTGTGAGCCACTAAGACATCGGGCCCCTGACTTTCTGCTGTTAATTTTCAGCCCCTGGTTTATATTACAATTAGGGCTCCTAATGGTCTGATTCCCAACTTTCCACTCTTTTACATTTCAAGTCTGTGAAAACAGCCTGTTTTCTTTGTCTAATGTGATGTGATTTGTCCAGACACTCAGCCTGTTTCCCTGTTTCCTCTACCTGTTTCCCTGTTTCCTCTACCTGTTTCCCTGTTTCCTCAGCCCGTTTTCCTGTTTCCTCAGCCAGTTTCCCTGTTTCCTCAGCCAGTTTCCCTGTTTCCTCTGCCCGTTTCCCTGTTTTCTCTGTCCGTTTCCCTGTTTCCTCTGTCCATTTCCCTGTTTCCTCTGTCCGTTTCCCTGTTTCCTCTGCCCGTTTCCCTGTTTCCTCTGTCCGTTTCCCTGTTTCCTCTGTCCGTTTCCCTGTTTCCTCAGCCCGTTTTCCTGTTTCCTCAGCCCGTTTTCCTGTTTCCTCAGCCCGTTTTCCTGTTTCCTCAGCCAGTTTCCCTGTTTCCTCAGCCAGTTTCCCTGTTTCCTCTGCCCTTTTCCCTGTTTCCTCTGCCCTTTTCCCTGTTTTCTCTGTCCGTTTCCCTGTTTCCTCTGCCCGTTTCCCTGTTTCCTCTGTCCGTTTCCCTGTTTCCTCTGTCCGTTTCCCTGTTTCCTCAGCCCGTTTTCCTGTTTCCTCAGCCCGTTTTCCTGTTTCCTCAGCCCGTTTTCCTGTTTCCTCAGCCAGTTTCCCTGTTTCCTCAGCCAGTTTCCCTGTTTCCTCTGCCCTTTTCCCTGTTTCCTCTGCCCTTTTCCCTGTTTTCTCTGTCCGTTTCCCTGTTTCCTCTGCCCGTTTCCGTTTCCTCTGCCCGTTTCCCTGTTTCCTCTGCCCGTTTCCTTGTTTCCTCTGCCCGTTTCCCTGTTTCCTCAGCCAGTTTCCCTGTTTCCTCAGCCAGTTTCCCTGTTTCCTCTGCCCGTTTCCCTGTTTCCTCTGCCCGTTTCCCTGTTTCCTTAGCCCATTATCCTGTTTCCTCAGCCCGTTCCCCTGTTTCCTCAGCCCGTTCCCCTGTTTCCTCAGCCCGTTCCCCTGTTTCCTCAGCCCGTTCCCCTGTTTCCTCAGCCCGTTCCCCTGTTTCCTCAGCCCGTTCCCCTGTTTCCTCAGCCCGTTCCCCTGTTTCCTCAGCCCGTTTCCCTGTTTCCTCAGCCCGTTTCCCTGTTTCCTCAGCCCGTTTCCCTGTTTCCTCAGCCCGTTTCCCTGTTTCCTCTGCCCGTTTCCCTGTTTCCTCTGCCCGTTTCCCTGTTTCCTCTGCCCGTTTCCCTGTTTCCTCTGCCCGTTTCCCTGTTTCCTCAGCCCGTTTTCCTGTTTCCTCTGCCCTTTTCCCTGTTTCCTCTGCCCTTTTCCCTGTTTCCTCTGCCCTTTTCCCTGTTTCCTCAGCCAGTTTCCCTGTTTCCTCAGCCAGTTTCTGTTTCCTTAGTGCGTGTTTTTGTTTCCTCAGCCCTTTTCCCTGTTTCTTCAGGCCGTTTCCCTGTTTCCTCAGGCCGTTTCCCTGTTTCCTCAGCCCGTTATCCTGTTTCCTCAGCCCTTTTCCCTGTTTCCTCTGCCCGTTTCACTGTTTCCTCTGCCCGTTTCACTGTTTCCTCAGCCAGTTTCCCTGTTTCCTCAGCCCGTTATCCTGTTTCCTCAGCCTTTTTCCCTGTTTCCTCAGCCCTTTTCCCTGTTTCCTCAGCCAGTTTCCCTGTTTCCTCAGCCAGTTTCTGTTTCCTTAGTGCGTGTTTTTGTTTCCTCAGCCCGTTTCTCTGTTTCCTCAGCCCGTTTCTCTGTTTCCTCAGCCCGTTTCTCTGTTTCCTCACGCTGTTTCTGTTTTCTTAGTGCGTGTTTTTGTTTCCTCAGCCCGTTTCTCTGTTTCCTCAACCCGTTTCTCTGTTTCCTCAGCCAGTTTCCCTGTTTCCTCAGCCAGTTTCTGTTTCCTTAGTGCGTGTTTTTGTTTCCTCAGCCCGTTTCTCTGTTTCCTCAGCCCGTTTCCCTGTTTCCTCTGCCCTTTTCCCTGTTTCCTCTGCCCTTTTCCCTGTTTCCTCAGCCAGTTTCTGTTTCCTTAGTGTGTGTTTTTGTTTCCTCAGCCCTTTTCCCTGTTTCCTCAGCCCTTTTCCCTGTTTCCTCAGGCCGTTTCCCTGTTTCCTCAGGCCGTTTCCCTGTTTCCTCAGCCCTTTTCCCTGTTTCCTCAGCCCTTTTCCCTGTTTCCTCAGCCAGTTTCCCTGTTTCTTCAGCCAGTTTCTGTTTCCTTAGTGCGTGTTTTTGTTTCCTCAGCCCTTTTCCCTGTTTCTTCAGGCCGTTTCCCTGTTTCCTCAGGCCGTTTCCCTGTTTCCTCAGCCCGTTATCTTGTTTCCTCAGCCCGTTATCTTGTTTCCTCAGCCCGTTATCTTGTTTCCTCAGCCCGTTATCTTGTTTCCTCAGCCCGTTATCCTGTTTCCTCAGCCAGTTTCTGTTTCCTTAGTGCGTTTTTTTGTTTCCTCAGCCCGTTTCTCTGTTTCCTCAGCCCGTTTCTCTGTTTCCTCAGCCCGTTTCTCTGTTTCCTCAGGCTGTTTCTGTTTCCTTAGTGCGTGTGTTTGTTTCCTCAGCCCGTTTCTCTGTTTCCTCAGCCCGTTTCTCTGTTTCCTCAGCCCGTTTCTCTGTTTCCTCAGCCCGTTTCTCTGTTTCCTCAGCCAGTTTCCCTGTTTCCTCAGCCAGTTTCTCTGTTTCCTCAGCCAGTTTCTCTGTTTCCTCAGCCAGTTTCTCTGTTTCCTTAGCCAGTTTCTCTGTTTCCTCAGCCAGTTTCTGTTTCCTTAGTGCGTGTTTTTGTTTCCGCAGCCCGTTTCCCTGTTTCCTCAGCCCGTTTCCCTGTTTCCTCAGCCCGTTTCCCTGTTTCCTCTGCCCGTTTCCCTGTTTCCTCTGCCCTTTTCCCTGTTTCCTCTGCCCTTTTCCCTGTTTCCTCAGCCAGTTTCCCTGTTTCCTCAGCCAGTTTCTGTTTCCTGAGTGTGTGTTTTTGTTTCCTCAGCCCTTTTCCCTGTTTCCTCAGGCCGTTTCCCTGTTTCCTCAGGCCGTTTCCCTGTTTCCTCAGCCCGTTATCCTGTTTCCTCAGCCCTTTTCCCTGTTTCCTCAGCCCTTTTCCCTGTTTCCTCAGCCAGTTTCTGTTTCCTTAGTGCGTGTTTTTGTTTCCTCAGCCAGTTTCTGTTTCCTTAGTGCGTGTTTTTGTTTCCTCAGCCCGTTTCTCTGTTTCCTCAGCCCGTTTCTCTGTTTCCTCAGGCTGTTTCTGTTTCCTTAGTGCGTGTTTTTGTTTCCTCAGCCCGTTTCTCTGTTTCCTCAGCTGTCCGTATTTGGCGTCCCACTTGAGTCCAGTCATTCCGGCGGCCGGCGCCGTCCTTTTCATCTTTGTGATGGGGATGCTGTTCAGGGTGAGCTTCAGTGACCCGGGCGTCCTGCCCAGAGCGACGCCGGACGAGGCCGCGGACCTGGAGAGGCAGATCGGTAACCATGGCGATGGCGATATTTCCCAAATCTTTGTGGGTTTTGTCTAAAAGTTTTAATTGAGAACCCCAAAACTTTAGACTTTATGAACAAGTGTTGATTAATAGTTTTCCAGGAAAGTCTGTTTGGACTTTTTGCTGCTTCTCCTCCTCCTCTTCCTCTCACGGATGAAGAGCTGAGTCACATATGGCCTCCTCTCTCAGAGAAACGTTTCCACAGAAACTGAACGTCACCATCCCAGCTTTCTGCTCTATTTCTGGAAGCCTGTTATCATTTCTCCTCATTTTCTTGATGTTTTGCGTCGAATGCTGGCAGACGGAGCTGTCAATCAGCACCAGCCTCAGAGACGCTCACATCCAGACATGGCTGATGTTGAGGCTGTCAGAGGTGGAGGAAACACACAGCCTCTGTGGTTTTATCTCTTATTTGTGTCATTTTCTCCAGAAAGTCGTCCTGATGTCAGATAAACTAGCTCACCTGAACCTCATAGAAGTTTCCATTTTTTTCTGTTTTCTTACGGTTCCTCTTAAAGCTCAGCAGATGTGAACTCCTCCCTCATTTGTTGCATGTTGTGGGTTTGCAGACCAGACGGGATGCTCGAAGCCTCCGCCTCGCACCAGAGAGGTGCTCATCAACGGACAGACGGTCAAACTCAAGTACTGCTTCACCTGCAAAATCTTCCGGCCGCCTCGAGCGTCGCACTGCAGCCTCTGCGATAACTGCGTTGGTCAGTGGGGGTTTGTTTTAGAAAAAAACAGTTTTCCAGATATTTTACAGGAAACCAGCAAAGCTTGATGTTTATTTCCAGCTTCTTTATGTTTTCCTTACAGTGTTTTTTTACTCCCGCAGAGCGTTTTGACCATCACTGTCCCTGGGTGGGGAACTGCGTCGGCCGCAGGAACTACCGCTTCTTCTACCTCTTCATCCTCTCCCTCTCCTTCCTCACCATCTTTATCTTCGCCTTCGTCATCACGCACATCGTCCTCAGTGAGTAACTCCACTCCTGCCGCCTCCTCACACTGTTTGTGTTATGATTCACCAGCGGATCTCTTTAAAAACAGGATTCTGATCATCTTTAGACACAAAAGTTATATTCCTGTTTCCAGTCTCCTGTCAGAGTGTGAAGAAAAGCAGATAAGGAAAATTGGAACTGCATGTAGAAATAGATTATGATAGAGTGAAACTAGTGGTGTGGTTTATATTCTCTATAAAGAAACGTAGGAAATTAATAATATGTTTCCTGGAAACATAATGGGACGGCCATAGAACCCTGAGGAACTCCATGCAGTTGCTCTAAACCAGAATCAAAGATGGATCCAGGGGCGAATTTAGGAAATGTGGGGCCCTAGGCAAAGACAGGCAGGGGGCCCCAATGAATTGAGAAGACAACACATAAAACAGAACCATTCTACATATAGAGAAATGTTAATAGAATAGACATCCATTATCTGTTCTAGGTTGTGTCCCTCTCTTCTTGTCCCTTTTCTTCTTGTTTTCCTCTCTATGTTTTGTACTCAGCTGACTTTTCATGCTGTCTCTAAAGGAATGAAAGATTTTTTCCAAGCACTAAGCTCACTTAGCTGATTGCTCCTTCCTGTGTTTCCAAAAAGGCCAAAGTAAATAACCCAGTCCTTCTTTTCACTGTAGACAAGCCATGATCTGCTTATCTGTTCTCCATTTTTCATTTGGATGAAATAATAGCTGCATGAATCATGACAGCAGACAAGATAGAGGAGAGCAGGAGGCGGGGTTACCAATCTCTTTGCTCTGGAGAGCAGAGTTCGCTGCTTTTAGATGTTGTCTCCAAAGTCTCCAGTAGCAGAAAAAAGTCTCTAGATTTGGCGCTAGGAGCTTTTTAGAAATCAAAGTGCTAGAGGGGTCTGAAAAGTGGCTAAATATAGCGACTAAAGCGCTAAGTTGGCAACACTGCTCTTTGCATGGTTTGTTTTCAAATGGTTTGCTGCTGTCTGTTTGGACCTTTCTGAACATGTGCAGCAAACAGAGTTTTATGGGGCCCCCAGGAACTTGGGTCCCTAGGCAACTGCCTAGTATTGCCTAATGGTAAATTAAATAATTGCTGCGTTTTTCTTTTCTTTGGTTGTGGCCGGTTTGTCGGAAGCATCTTGCTAAGCAGTTAGCAACTTAGTGCTAGCAGGTTCCCAATGGGAAATTCCATTGGGACCAAGTAGCACTAAATAGGTGACTTAGAAACGACGCTGTCAAGGAACGCTATGGACAGCGGAAACATGCAAGAGGAGGAGAGTTTAGTGTCGGAGGTCGTGGATGAGTCTCCTCCGTCATCCATTTTTTATTTAGAGGAGGAAAGCGGGACGAAGATGTTGTGGAAGAGGACGCCAGGGCGGCAGAAGCTTGGTTTGGTGTAGAAGGCTTCCAGCCGTACATGTTTCAGCCCTTGCCTCGCAACGCTGCCAGTTCTGTTAGCTCTACGCCTGCCGAAGACACAGACGTCCATCCCTGTGAACACTGGGACGGAACTCAATGGGAAAGGAAAGGATTCTGATTTCTGATTTCAACCGTTGCGTATATTAGCTGCGACATATGAATCAAGATGCTATGAGAGAAAAAATTTGATTGACAGATGACCGTTGATATATGATTGGCCGAATTTAGGTGTTCAGGCTGACGTAGAACTAACTGGCCTGCAGAAGATAACGAAAAAAACAGATTTTAAGACAGGATTTTTTTTTTTTAAGTAGAAATTTTCTAACTTTTGGGACAAATAGTCTGATAAAGAGAACATTTATATACATGTTTAAGCCAGAATGATTTGACATTTAAATATGACTTTCCTATTACTTTAATTTGCGTAAACAAGGAATAGTTGTATTAACTATAAGTTTTATGGGGCCCCTGGGAACTTGGGGCCCGAGGCAACCACCTAGTATTGCCTAATGGTAAAACCGCCCCTGGATGGATCCACTCTTTTGGATGACATGTTTATTTTTGGTGAATCTTTCTTTTTTTTCTGCTGTTGTTTCTGTTGGTGTATAAATGTTGGAGCTTTCAGCACATTTAAATCCTCTGATCCAGATGGTTGACAGTTGCGTTTGCTTTGAAGGAGGTTTCATCCTAATCATTTGGTTTTGTGGGTTTTTCCAGTCAATCTCATCAACCAGAGTCTCTGTTTAGGCCGTTAAAGTTGTTTATCTGCCCCGAAGCTCCAAACTCCCAAAGCTGTGAGGCTGCTTAACAACAAGCAGACTGTCTCAGATAAACCCGTGTTTTCTTCTGAGCGCTTCCTGTTTTCTGTTTTTAGCAGCGCTGCTATAAAAAGATCCAGCACAGCGGGTTGACTTTGATCTGAATGAAATTCCCTGTCAGCCTCTAATCCATTTCCTTCTCCTCCGTGTCTCTGCTGCCTCAGGGTCTTTGTTTGGGTTTAACACACCCAGGTTAGAATGACCCTGACTGAGATGTTCAACTCATTTAATTCATCAGAGGTTAAGAATCTGGGATTTTTTTTCATATTTTAAATTCTTTTCCAATTTTATGTGTTTTATTTTATTTTTATTTTTTTTAACACAAATCCTCACACAGATTAAGCGTGGTAGCTTTTTCAGGCTGACCTTCTTGGAGCTCAAACTGTGCTCACTTCTAGGCATGTTCATACATCTACCCAACGAGAACATAGTGTCTCTGGGACGTCCATGAAAGATCTAGAGCCTGACTGTAGAAAAAAAAAAGGGGGGGGGAATGGATGAATGGTGGATGGATAAAGGATTTATGGACAGGTGGCTGATGTTGGACGGATGGATGGATGGATGGTTGGTTGGAAGGATGGATGGCTGGTTGGTTGGCTAGTTGGTTGGATGGATGGATGGATGGATGGATGGATGGATGGTTGGCTGGCTGGTTGGTTGGTTGGTTGGATGGATGGATGGATGGATGGATGGATGGATGGATGGATAGTTGGTTGGAAGGATGGCTGGTCGGATGGGTAGATGGATGGATGGATGGCTGGATCCAAGGAGGGTTGGATGGAATGTTGGATGGATGGAATGTTGGATGGATGGAATGTTGGATGGATGGATGGATGGATGGATGGTTGGATGGATGGATCCAAGGAGGTTCGGATGGATGGATGGATGGATGGATGGATGGATGGATGGATGGATGGATCCAAGGAGGTTCGGATGGATGGATGGTTGGATGGATGGATGGATGGATCCAAGGAGGTTCGGATGGATGGATGGATGGATGGATGGATGGATCCAAGGAGGTTCGGATAGATGGATGGATGGTTGGATGGATGGGTGGATGGATGGATGGATGGATGGATGGATGGATGGATGGATGACCGATGGGTGGATGGATGGGTGGATGGATGACCGATGGATGGATGGATGGATGACCGATGGATGGATGGATGGTTGGATGGATGGATGGATGGATGACCGATGGATGGATGGATGGATGGGTGGATGGGTGGATGGATGGATGGATGGGTGGATGGATGACCGATGGATGGATGGATGGATGGATGACCGATGGATGGATGGATGGATGGATGGATGGGTGGATGGATGGATGGATGGATGACCGATGGATGGATGGATGGGTGGATGGATGGATGGATGGATGGATGGATGGATGGATGCATGACCGATGGGTGGATGGATGGGTGGATGGATGACCGATGGATGGATGGATGGATGACCGATGGATGGATGGATGGATGGATGGATGGTTGGATGGATGGTGGATGGATGGATGGACCGATGGATGGGTGGATGGATGGATGGATGGATGGATGGATGGATGGATGGATGGGTGGATGGATGGATGGATGGATGGATGGATGGATGGATGGATGGATGGATGGATGGATGGATGGATGGATGGATGGATGGATGGATGGATGGATGGATGGATGGATGGTTCTCAGTCCCAGTTTGGCTGATAAAGCTCTAAATCTCTTCTTCTCTTCCAGGATCAAAGCGGAGCGGATTCCTGACGGCGCTGAAAGACAGTCCTGCCAGATATCCTTTACAGGTTCTAAACCTTCAACTAAAGTTCTGATACCGAATTAATTCCCTCTGCTGACAGAAATGTGACGTCAGTAAAAATCTGTTCTGCTTTAAGAATCAATATTTTGTAGGAAAAAACAAAATTTGTTTAAATTGGACCTTTAAAAAAAATGAAACAGTTTGATCAAAGCGGCTCCAAATTTAGCTGAAAAGCTTCAGTTGACTAACAGGAGAACAAACGTCCAGCCTTTATCAGATGGGACCTGACACAGAAACCAAGCCATTAATTAGCTCCCATACCCCCCCCTCCCCGGTAATGTGTGGCTCTGGTGAATCGATGCTCCACCATCTACAGCTCAATATGTCCTGTGATGCACAGCCAAGGTCAGAGAGGTTCTCTCCATCCTGACAGAAACCATGAGGAGAATCAGGGATCATTCCTGCTTGTTGCTGGTTCTGAACCTCGGTCCATTTTATCATCCGGGTCTGTCCTTGACTCTGCTCGGCACCATCCTGGAGGTGGTGGTGTGCTTCTTCTCCGTCTGGTCCATTGTGGGCCTGTCAGGCTTCCATACCTACCTGATCAGCTCCAACCAAACCACCAATGAGGATGTGAGTATAGCAGCTCCCAGTACCGGATCCAGACCCAGCAGCAGAGGATTGCTGCTGGTTCTGCTCGGGTCCAATGTTTATTTGATCTGTTATCTTCATCCTTAGATCAAAGGAACGTGGTCCAAGAAGGAGGGGAAGGACAACTACAACCCGTACAGCTATGGAAGCGTCCTCACCAACTGCTTCTCAGCTCTGTGTGGACCCCTGCCTCCGAGGTCAGAACTCGTCCAGAACCCCTGTTGGTACCGCTTTCAGGGATAGAACTGCGGCGGAGATCAGGGGGAAACAAAGTTGATCTCTGGTTCATAGTCGGGACCAGACATGACCAAACTGAACCTTGGTGATACTAAAGTCGTTCACTAAATCAGGACTAAAGTTACCTCAGAGATCTGCACCAGAACCAGGACTGAGATCCGAGCCAGAAAACTAAACGAAGCAGACGAAACCATGTAGCTTTGAGCTCTATGCCAGTTTGGCTCCAGATTTGAACCATAACTGGAGCTGAAATCAGAACCATATTTAAACCAAAGTGCCTGAGCTGAACCTGTGCTCAGGTGAGGGTTAAAACCTGGATACAAATCTGGGATATAATCAGGACTAAATGGAATTTAAAAAATAATCTGAATTGAAGCTGATTTTATACTAAAATCAGGTGAAATGGAGCTAAAGCACATCTATAAGAATTAGATCTAAACCTGGGACCTAAAAGTTGGTTTAAAAATCAGAACTTGACCTGGTAATTAAACATTGGATTGTTGTTTAACTTTTTAAGGATGACAGAAAGAGGACACTTGGCAAAGGTCAACAGGAAGGGAATCTAACCAGCGACTGCTACTTTGCGGACCAGAGCCTCTGAACATGGATCTGTTTTCCCAAGTAAAATTCAAATCGGTTAAATTCAGTTTATTTCTATAGCGCCAATTCACCACAGATGTCATCTCAAAGCACTTTCCAGTTCACCAGATCATCCACTCAGATTGATTAAAGGTTTCTATCTAAGGAAAACCAGTTGATTGCATCGACTCATTGACTCAAATACAATCCCTCACACTAAGCATGCTTGTAGCGACAGCGGAGAGGAAAAACTCCCTTTAACAGGAAGAAACCTCCAGCAGAACCAGGCTCAGTGTGAGCGGCCATCTGCTGAGGCCGACTGGGGTTCAAGGAGACAGAAGCAGACAGAAAAAGCAGCTGTAAAAGGCGCCCCGACCAGGAAACACACAGCCAGGCAGACGAGCTCCGAGCCAGCTACCATGTCAGAAGATGCAGAGAGCACATCCAGTTAGGCACAGTCAGAGAAACAGGACTACACTGAAAAACAGGCCGATCTCCAACATCTAGAAACAAAGGCATGATGCAGTTGGGAAAATGTATATTTAGTAAGATATTCTTATTTGAGCAAATGAGGTTAAGCACGGCTAATTGGACACTATTAAAGTGATCATTTAGGAGTTTATCCTGTGTTTATATTTACAAACAGAATCGCACAGAGTTAATTCTCCTTCCATTAAACAGTATAAATAATCCCAGACTGGAGTCTGAATGGATTTGTGTTTCTTCTCTGGCATGGCTTCTGTGAGGCTCCACTTCAAAATAATCTAGTAGACGACAGTAACGTCACAACATAGAAAGAAATTCCTTTTAAGAAAACATTATCAATTAATCGGATAGATGGATGGATGGTTGGATGATGGATGGATGGATGGATGGATGGATGGATGGATGGATGGATGGATGGACGGATGATGGATGGATGGATGGATGGATGGATGGATGGATGGATGGATGGATGGATGGATGATGGATGACGAATGGATGGTGGATGGATGGATGGATGGATGGATGGATGGATGGATGGATGGATGGATGGATGGATGGATGACGAATGGATGGTGGATGGATGGATGACGAATGGATGGTGGATGGATGGATGACGGATGGATGGATGAATGATGGATGGATGGATGGATGGATGACGGATGGATGGATGATGGATGGATGGATGAATGACGGATGGTGGATGGATGGATGGATGGATGGATGACGGAAGGTGGATGGATGGATGGATGGATGACGGATGGATGGATGGATGGATGACGGATGGATGGTTGGATGATGGATGGATGAAGGATGCGAATGGTGGATGGATGACGGATGGATGGATGATGGATGGATGGATGGATGGATGGATGGATGGATGACCTGTCTCCATGTCTGTGTTTCAGTTTGATTGACAGGAGGGGTCTGATCCAGGATGACACTCCACAGACCGTGTCTCAGTCCAACGGGTCCAGCAGCGGCGGCTACGCCTCGACACAGCTGCACAGTCACATGGTAGGTAGAGGTAGGGGGGCGGGGGTTTCCCGTTATTCCCATTTTAACCCCTCCCCTCCTGTTCCCTCAGTGTGACCAGGACCAGTGCATCCAGAGCACCAAGTTCGTCCTGCAGGCTGCGGCCACGCCCCTGCTCCACAGCGACCCCATCGTTCTGGCCCCTCTGCCTGCCAAGACCCCCACACCAGGGGGTCCCTGCTCCTACCTTGCCCCAACGCAGCCGTCTCTGCCGTCCTGCGCCGGAGACGTCCTGACATTCAGGGACGCCGCCGTCGACTCCCACTGCCACCATCATCTTCACCTGCATCACCTCCAGCACCACCAACACCACTTCACCAGCCCCGAGGAGACGCCGTGCGGCACGCCGCAGGGCGCCCTGCCCTGCCACGCCCACATACACCTACAGCACCCTGCCCCACCCGTCCTGTACGACCCCGTCACTCAGGACGCTCTGCATGAAGACTCGGTCCGAGGGCTGGTGAAACTCAGCTCCGTCTGATGCCTTCAGGAATGTTACGAACAGAAACAAACCAGACGTTGGTGATTTTATTACATCTAGTAGGGCTTTTTTTTTACCAGGTTCTAAAGTCTGCAGCGTCGTGCCAAAGTTTGCACCCATCAAACATCACAAGTCAATACTTCACTGTTTTCCTATGACTGACCGGCAGGAAGTCGAAGTGGGAAGAAAAAGTTTTTGTTTTTGTTTTATTTTAGTTTATGGCAGATTTGATTCTGATAAAACCTGCCAAATGTGCAACATTGACCCTCTGAACATACCTTTAAACATGGTAGTGGCACCATCATGGTATGGGGAGAGTTGATGGGAAGTTGGATGCAGCAAATTCAGGCAACATAAAGGAAAATTCCAGTCACATTCAGAATTCAAAATTCTGAAAGTTCTTTAATTATGAAATGATTCCATCCTGTTCAATAAATGATCAGTGTTTTTAATTCAGAGTCATTTTCATGTGAATGTGCTTTACTGGAGGCATCCATGTTTGTCAAAGAACACTACTGCCACCTACTGGTTAGTGACGTCACAGTGCGGTATCGGCTGTTGATCAAGTCCCAGTGCTGTATCTGGTGTTTGTCACAACGCGCTATTATCCAAGTCATCTTGAAAACATTCTTCTTCCAAATGTTGGCTACATATTACGGGTTTTTTCTCTGGCCAGAAGTTCGATGGCAAATCCTCCCTCTTCAAGTTGGCGATCCAACGACCAACCCGTCCGTGGAGGATCAGGAATCAGAAAGGTGGAATAACTCTTTTTTTCACTTTTACCCGATGTATTCCAGCATCCAGCTGCCATGCACGTGGGCATTGTCAGTTTCACTATAGCTCTGGTGAATTTCAATGGTGAAGTCCTCTGGAAATCTTCAATAATTGTTGTTGATTGCAGATGTGTCTAGTAGTTCCCATTGATTTAGCTTGTAAAGCAGGGAGAATGGCGCTAGGCTTACCGCACCGTGATGTCACTGCCGGAAGTGTCACGAGGGAGGGGTTACTATATTTGGGCAAAAATGGCCGGTCCAGGACTCGGTGATTGTGGAGAAAATTATTATTTACTGATTAACGCTAAATTCATTAAATCACTGCAAACATATTAGCTGTAGGTATAGATAAAGATCCATTGATTATTTCTTGCTGACCGGACTTTTCCTTTAATACTGGGATGGAAAACAACCCTTCATCTGAATAAGGTCGGCATGAAAATGGTGTCAAATGTTTGCGTGGCAAAAATCTTTGTTTTTGCTGCTTCTATCTCAAACTGATGAGAGGTGGAAACTTTTGACCTATTTTCTTTTTGAAAGCAGCAGAAGCGACATTATTTCCTGCACAAACGTTTATCAAGTGTTAAAATGGCCTCGTCAAAGTCCAGATATGCTGTGAGACTCTAAAAAAATTTCCCTGAAAGCTTTTAATCCAAACCTGGGAGGGGGGAGTAATTTAGATCTTTAAGTCTCCAGAAGACCTGCAGCCAGAAGAGCTTTTGAACACAAAAGCAAGCCACACTTTTCAGATTATAAACCAAAAACCAATTTTCTCCCGCTTCCTACTTTCTGTTGCTCTGTTGCATAAGATCCCGATAAAACGCTGAAGGTTTTGATGTGACAGAATGTGGAGAAGCTGGAGGATTGTCGATGCTTCTTTGCGGTTCGGTTTGTTTGCTTTCAGGTTTTTGAGCTCAGATTTCAACAAATTCAGGTGAAGCAGTCTGACTCCGAGGAGCAACTGCTCCAGGACCAAAGCTGGACCTCCCTCCTCTCTACCTTCATCTTCCTCCTCTTTGAGGAATTTATCAAACATAGAACTTTGATACCAGAATAAGCTACTTCAGTGCTGATGAGACGCTGCACCAAAAAAAAACAAAAAAAACACTGATTTCCTTCTGTGTTGGATTGTTTCTGTGGAGCTGATGGAGGCCAGCCTCACTGCCACACAATGTCAGTTTTTATACGGATGATGTCATCCCTGCATTAAATGAAACCACTCTGTGCTTTTATTCTGAAAGTCGTTCTCATAGATATTCATCTCTTCACAGCTCGTTTGTCGTGGATGATGTTTTTGAAATAAAAGAACATAGAAACTAAACTTCCAGTGAAAAACTGGAGCCTTTCAAACATTATTCATCTACATTTAAATAGAAGTGATTTTCATTCACAGCAGGGGTTCAGATGAGGGCCTCTGTTTGATAACAGGCTAACCTGTAAAGCCTTTTAACCTTCTTCCTATTTAGTTTGTTTCCATTATCTTTCTGATAAGCTAATGTTGAAATATAGTAGTTATCATGTAGATTTTTATATTTAAATTTATTTGATTAATTAGGCTTATTAATTCAATTAAGTTATTAATTAAATTTATATTTAAACTTTTCTGAAAGCAAACGTCTAAAAGCTGCTTCAATAAATATATATATATATAGTAAAACATGTAGGACACCAGTAAATTACTTTCTCTACAATTTCAAATAAAACATTTGAGGTCTTCTGATAATTTATTTTTATTTTTTTACTTCCCTTAGAATCATAATTTAAAGATAATTTTAAAACAGTTCCCTGGTTTTTATGACACTCATGGGGTTCCTTTTTTTTATAGAAGTTGAAGATGGATTTGTTTTTTTGTTTTTTTTTCAGACAAGATTAAAAATATATCTGCTGCGCTTGTAACTATTTTTAAAAAGTAGAATGCAAATGAGGAAAAACGTGTAGTATAAAATAAACATTTCCCTCTGGTACAGAGAGTAGCACTCCTCCAGGCCGCTAGGTGGCAAACGTTCCTCCAAAGCAGCCAGTAAGCGGCCGTCCCTGGCGGTAACCTGGATACAGTTGCCAGGCAGACCGCCCCCGTCAGCTGCGAGGGAAGAGGGATTTAACATCTGGAAGTTTTAGAGGGAAAATCCTTATAAAAGGTTTGATTCAAGCCCGAAAACCGAGTTTAATGGAAGGTAAAAGCATCCGTACTCCAACACAGTAAATAAATATAAAACTATTCATCATCCAAACCTTTGTTTGTCAAACTAATCATTAACAAAATCGATTAATTTATGGAACGTCTCATTTCATTGTAAGACATTTCCCGGTTTCAAGCTAAATCAACTGATTAAATGATAAAAAACATTACGTAACTGGTGTTTTTTAATGAGTTATGTGTTTTTTTTCTGAATAAAACCAGTTTTCGCGCTAACAGCATCGTTGACGATCCCTTTTGGTGACATAAACAAAAGGAAAAAGCGCGGCAGCTGAACAAAAAGACTAAAGAAAAGTAAAACAAATCTCACTATTATATAGACTTATGACGTATCGAGGTTGACATGCATTAGTGTTTTATATGTCAGGTTGTCCTTTTCAACGCAAATCTTTTTTTTAACACAGCTGTAATAATATAATATAAAATCCCTTTTCAACCCCACAACGCTTCCCTTATAATATATATGTGAGTTTTTAACCTCTTATTAGAGGACATTAATACAACTGTTGGTTTTAATCGCTTAAAAGATTTTTTATAGTAATTTTATTGTGAATAAAAATGCAGTTTGCATTTAGGAATCTATGTTGAAAAAACATACTTTGACATTATGATTCCAGTAGATATAGTGTTTAATATAAAATAAAAATTCAATTTAAACTTTCGATGTTTCATAAGCGCCCGTTAAATAGTTTTATAACATCAATTATTTAGCAGTTTCGTAACTTTTCAGGTTTGAATGTCCCGCACAATGGTGGAGCAGGAAGCGGCTGTGATTGGCTGAGTTGTTAAAAGGGTGGTCACGTGATCTGCTGCTATTGGCCAGTCAGTTCTAGCGGGAAGATTCCAATAAAAGGAGAGAAAAAGACAGAAGGAGCTTCATACTTCGCTCTCCGTCTGTCTCTGCTGCTTTTAGTTTAGCTTTCTGGTCTTTTAGCCCTTTTTCTAAGGTTTTTATTTCCTTGTTTTTTTCTCTTTATCGTTCGTTTTGTGTGAAACCGAAGCAGTGATGATGCTGTCCGCGCGCTCCCCTCTCTCTGTGAAGAACCAGCAGAATCTCAGCGGCCAGATGAGCGACCTGAGTCTGGACAAAGAAAACACGGTGAGAAATTCTTCCACCTCCACCTTGAAACATCATTACTTTATAAAATAACCCGCCTGTTCCGTTTTCCAACATTTTAATTATTTTATTTGTTTCTATTCAGCCTCCGAGTCTGAACGGCACCCGGGTTCTGGCGTCCAAAACGGCCCGGAAGATCTTCAGTGAATCCTCGGTGAGTTCTGGAAAAAAAAGTGCCAGGCAGGGTTTCCTAATGTTAGTGGGACGGTGGAGGGTTTTAAACGGAGGAAGAGCCGCTGATTGTGGCGCCTAAAAGTGGAGGAAGTGGCGCCAACAGGCTGTGATCAGCAGCTGCTCACTGCAGCGATCCTTCAATTGCATTCACTGTCTTCTTCATTGGTTTGTTGGAAAAAAAAACCTCCAAGTTCACTTTAAAGCAACCTAATGAGCTTTATTTGGTTAAGGAAGGTTTTTAATCTTATTTCAAGTGCATGAAGTCTAATTAGATTTATTTAGGAGCAGATATACTCCTTCCTTTAAAAGATATTGCAGATATTTTGATAATTTTTTTTTTCCTTTTTAGATCGGGTGCAGTTTAATACTGATTTAATATGCTGGTGAAGATTCTCAGCCGTCCAGTTCATAGTCATGACAAGAAATTTAAGCAATCCACTGGACTTTGTTTCCGAGTGTAACACGGGGGAATTACCCGGATTGTGACCGAGGACGTGGCCCTAAACCAACTAGTAGACCACTAAAAGTATCAAGTAGCCTAGGGTCTCCCAATTAAATGTACCTAGGTAAGTCTGGCTTGAAATGAGGAAACAGATTTAGTATACAAATTATATATTTTATTTATGGATTATTTTACAATTGGAAGACAACTTTATTATTCTATTTTAAAATCCAATAAGGCACAAGAACCCGTGACAGAAGAAGCAATCTGAGACTCTAGAAAACACTGCAAACCACGTTAGTAGCACACAAGATCAAACAAGATTATATTAATTTAGAAGAACACGAATCTCACGTTGCGTCCTATAGAGCTGCGCCCAATCAGCTTATTAATAAAATAAATAAATGGTCGTTCTGGTTCTGTAGTGCCCGTGCTGCAACTCTAGCTCCAGAGAAAACCTTTTACCAAGAGCATAACAAAAAAAAGGGGTCTCAATGGTGAGAGCATAATAAGCAACAGCAGCAATCTGTAACAACCAAAAAAAACAATAAAGTGTCTGCGGACCATTATACAGGAAATACAGAAATAAAAGAAAACAATGTACCTTCATCAGCCTCAGACAGGGATATATGCAGACGCTTCCATGAAAACTTTTCCAGCAGCGCAGTACCAAGATCCAAATTCTGTGTAGCAGCACGGCTCCCAATGCTCAGAAGAATCTACTGCACACCAAACTAAGCCGACTCTCATAGCTTGCTTGCACACCTGGTGCCTATATACGCTAATGAGCCTGTCAATTCTGTAAAGCAGACGTGAAGGTAAAGAAACGGAGCTGTGATGTGTTCAAGGACCCAAAACGGGTGGGAATTTACACCCACTAGACCACCCGGTTACATCCTACCCCCCCTCTATGGATCGGTGGCCCAACGATAAAGTCTAGGACCAAGGCCGAAAAATGGCTGTAGCTAAGCTGCTGGCACCAGGGATCAGAGAAGCAGCAGCCCCACTATCTTCATTCCTTGCAGGTACTGGGAGACGATGGGGATTGGAGTGTTTTCCAGCAGTTTTACGAGTTGATCTTCTAGGCCCAACCCTACTGCTTTGAGAGGTTTGTGGAGACTGTGGCACTTCAACAGGCGTCCGAACTGTAGGGATATCTGATGGTTCTTGTACCAATGGCATGGCTGCATTACTGCCAGTCTCTCGGAGCACCAACCAAGATCCAGACGCCACATCATCCTCATCAATGTTCTCCTCAGGTGCCTGCTGTGACCAATCATTGCAGGTCTCCGTGATCGACAGGGCAGGCTTTATAGAGGTACGATGTACTTGTCTAACCAGATGGAGCTTGTCAACAGGAGCAATTGAATAGACCACACCGTCGGAACTTGGTGCTTTCACGACCTGGTACACCGTGGAGCCCCATGCATCCTGGATCTTTCGGCGCCCTGGGCCAACATCACGCAGATACACTCTTTGCCCAACTTCCAGTGGCTCGCAGGTGACCTTTTCATCATGTCTCACTTTTCTCCTGTGGGCTGCCAACTCCACTCTGCCTTTAACAACGTCAATGGCCATATTTAGACGCCTCCTGTGCTCTGCCACCCAATCACAAACTTTAGATCCTGTGGGCTCAGGAAGATGGCCAAGCAGAAAGTCCACTGGCAGGTGGGGCTCTTGTCCAAACATGAGGAAGTGAGGTGATTCACCAGTCGACTGATGGGCAGTGGTGTTGTAATAGAAGACAAGCTGTGGGAGATGTTCTGGCCAATTTCGTTTTTCCTCTGGTGCTAGGGAACGAAGCAGATTGAACATAGTTCGATTGAACCTTTCACATTGTCCATTTCCCTGTGGATGGTAGGGTGTAGTGCGACTCTTCTGCACTCCATACAACTCACATAGCTGTTGTACCAGGACACTTTCAAAGTTCCTCCCCTGATCCGAGTGGATACGGGCCGGCACCCCAAAACGGTAGAACCACTCACGAACCAGAACCTTTGCCACAGTTGTTGCTTTCTGATCACGTGTTGGGACAGCTTGGGTGAACTTTGAAAATACATCTGTCATCACCATCACCAGCTCCCTTCCATCACGGGCTGGTTCCAGAAGTGTGAAATCAATGGCCAACAGCTGATTTGGTCTTGAAGCGAGAAGGTGACCCATAGGGGCTCGAACTCTTGGCTGGGTGTTCTTAGCAAGGGTACACCTCTCACACTGTTCGCACCAATCCTTTACATCTTTGTCCACTCCCGGCCAGAAACATCTCTGTTTTTAAACTCTGTGGGAGAAGAACCTGAAAAACTTCTTCTCCACCATCTGGTCTCCACGTGCGCCGGTACAAGACGCCTTCCTTCTGGACAATTCGGTCCCACTGTTTCAGAAGTCCACGTGCGCCTGGCCCCAAACGCTCCTTTTCAGCCCGGCTCGGCACCCTTTGTTGCTGCCAAAAGTCCAGGAAGGCTGAAATGGCTGGATCAGCTCCTTGAAGTATGCACAGATCTTCTCTGCTGCGAGATGGAAGGGCAATAATTGCCAACTGGGCTGCATCCTCCTGTAGCCCACCAGCCCTCTCACAGATTTCTGGAACTGCTGTCCCAGGGAGGTGGTGCTGTAGTTGTATTCGGTCCCCATTTATTGATTGTCTTGAGAGGGCATCAGCATTCTTATTCACACGACCTGGACGATACCTGACTGTATAGTCAAATGCAGAAAGTTCAGCAACCCACCGATGCTCCGTGGCCCCCAGTTTGGCAGTGTCCAAATGGCTCAATGGGTTATTGTCAGTCCAGACGACACATCGGTGGCCCCACAGGTACTCTTTGAACTTTTCAGTCATGGCCCACTTCATGGCCAACATCTCAAGTTTCATGGAGCTGTAACTTTTCTCAGCAGCATGCAAGCTGCGGCTGGCATATGCAATTGGTCGTACCCGTCCACTCTGCTCCTGCGACAGCACGGCTCCCAACCCACTGTGGCTGGCGTCTACCTCTAAAATGAAGGGCAATGAGAAATCAGCAAAAGCAAGAGTGGGAGCACTTACAAGCTTGGCCTTTAGTTCCTGGAAGCTCCTTTCACAGTCTTCTGACCACGCTCCTTCCAATAGTTTCCCTTGTCCTCGACGCGTCTTCGAGGCAGGATGTCTGGAAACAAGGCGATGAAGGGGGCCAGCCAATTGAGAGAATCCTTCAACAAACCTCCGGTAATAATTGGCAAACCCAAGGAAGGACCGGAGCTCTGAGACATTGGTAGGGTGAGGCCAGTTTGACACTGCTGCGATCTTGCCTGGATCTGTGGCCACACCGTCCTCAGAGATGCAATGTCCCAGGTACTGAACCTGCTTTTTGAAGAAGTCACATTTCTCCAACTTGACCTTCAGTCCTTCTTGTTTTAGACGACTTAACACCACCTCGAGCCGTGCCAGGTGTTGATCAACACTGGAAGAGAACACAACAATATCATCCAGGTATAACAAGAGTGACTGACCATGCTGAGCCCCAAACATCCTCTCCATCAAACGTTGAAAAGTTCCTGGTGCATTGCACAACCCGAATGGCATTCGATTGAATTCAAAGAGGCCAAACGGCGTGCAGAAGGCAGTTTTTGGGCGATCATTTTCTGCAACTGGAACCTGGTTATAACCACAAGCAAGGTCCATGGTTGTGAACCAACGAGCACCCGATAGAGAGTCCAATGTTTCTTCTATTCGAGGCAATGGGAAAGCATCCTTTCTGGTCTTTTTATTGAGCTGTCTGTAGTCCACACAAAGGCGAAGACTGCCGTCCTTCTTTCGAACCAGGACAATTGGCGAGGCATAAGGGCTACTGCTTTCACGAATGACCTGGGTTGCCAGCAGCTGGTTAATATGTGACTTAACTGCTTCGTACTCAGATGGAGGGATACGCCGATACCGCTGCCGTACAGGAACAGTGTCTAACAGTGGGATGGTATGCTCGATCAAGTTGGTAACCCCAAGGTCGCCATCAAAAGCAGAGAACACAGACTCGTATTTTAGCAATAACGCTCTCACTTTATGCTGCTCTTCCCTATCCAGCATAGAGAGATTAAGTGACGTTATCTTTTCTCCAACCGACCCAGTCTGAGCAGTATGAGATCTGACTGCAGCCACAACTTGCTCCTGTACACAAGGGACTTCCTGCAATTCTGACGGTAAGCTGACCACTTCTACAGGGGACACGACACCCAAAGCACAACGGGGTTTTAGTGAAACGGTACATACCCCTACATTCACCACAGGGACATAAACAGTGCCCCTAAAAACCTGTAGAAGGGAAGGAGACACCAACAAACCCTCAGGTAAGCCAAACCTATCTAACGGCTCAATTAATGCGCCCCCAGCCTGCGTCAACATGGCTGAACAAGTGGCAGGTACAAATTTAGTAGTGCCTGCAGGGACCACAACAGGTCTTCTACCACGAAGCTTTGCAACACTGGTTTGAATTTGGTCTTTTTGACTCTCAGCCTGTTGACATAGCTGAAAGGCAGGAAGCCAGGAAGTAGGGGCCCCCAAAACAGAAGTGAGTTTAAACAAATCAGGGCCATGCTGGTCAAATAGCTGAAGATAATGGGCTTTTATTATATTCATCCCAATTATGCCTGGTACCTGGGGTAACTTTGCTTGGCATGGAGGGTCCCTAACAACAAGGATCCCTCTTCTGGGGATGACTACCCCACACACCTCAATATCAGGCTCAAGATAGCCCAAGTAAGGGATACTCAACCCATTTGCTGCTCTCAACTCCAACCAATGGCATGCCTTTAGCTTATCTGGAAAATGCTTTTTAAAGAAACTCTCTGAAATGGTAGAAACCATAGACCCAGTGTCAAGAATACATTGTACTGGAACTCCAGATAGTTTCACAGTAACTTCAGGGCAAGGTGCAATTAAACACTCAGCCACCTCATCCATTTGAGGACCCTCTGAGCCTGGACCACCCCCTCCTAATGTCTGGCTCCTAACACTAGGGGGAGTTAGTTTCCCTGCAACTGAGAACTAGTGGTGGCTTGGACCTGAGGGGTACCACTGGCACACGGGGGCTTAAAACGGCCACGAACTGTACAATACCGAGCAATGTGGCCTGGCTGCTGACATTTGTGACATATCACACTACTAGGACTGAGAGGCCTAGCCACCGAAACCTGCTGCATAGCTGCAAGACATTGAGTAATCTGATCCAACTGTTCCTGCTGTTTTTGCACAATTGAATTAAGAGTAGCAAGTTGAGAAGCAACACAACTGGAAGGAGGGTCAGTTAAGGAAGGGGGCACACTGGCACTCTGTACAGCACAAAAGGAGGGGACCACCCTACTTTTATTTTCCACCCCACCCTCACGCTCCCACATAATGGCCTCCGCTCTAACCTCAAGTAATGTACACCTTGGATTATCACGAGCATAACGTTTTAGCTCTCTACGCAGGTCAGAACTACTAACATTCTGAATAAATTGATCACGAAGTAAAATGTCTGCATTTAACACAGCATGGGGAGCACTAGATTTAACTTTGTCCATTAAGCAAAACAATGAATGAGAGAATTCCTGCAAAGATTCACCATCTAACTGTCTCCGTGAAAAGAAGTCCTCCTGTAATGAGACATACGACTGTTGGCAACCATACAGTTCCTTTAAAATGGTGAAAACAGTTTCTGGATCCTCACGTTCAGATGATGACCTATATTTGATCTCATCTCGAGCTTCCCCTTCAAGATGGTCAAAAATGAAAGCAGCCTGATCTGTGGGTCCAACATGGCGGACTCGCATACTGGTGCGAACCTCTTCTATCCAGTCCTCCACCCCAACACCATGAGTTCCTCTGAAGATTGGACATTTTCTCTCTCTTGGTAGGTAGATTATGCGATCAGCCCCCCTGTTCGTCGGAGTGCCACTTGTACTTGGGCCAGCTTGTACATCATCCTGTCGATTTGAACTTGCTAATGCAGAATCCCTCTCCTGCTGCAGACGGCTCCTTTCGGCCTCCAACTGCTGGACTCGAACACGGAGTTCTTGAAGTTCCTCATCCATCGCACCAGGAAATGATGATCCTTGGTCACAGCTTCGTCTATCCAGCTAGGTCCCACGATGTGCTTACTGTTGCACTATTATGCTCTCACCCAAAAAAAAAAAATCTATAAGGATCTCTACTAGAGCACCACAGAACCAGCACAATTAAAATCAAGAGAAGAAAGAAGAGGAAAAAAAAAAAAAGGATCTATACACACAAACACTATCTGTTCCAACTGCCAGATCCTACCAGCAACGCCAGAAAATTGTAACACGGGGGAATTACCCGGATTGTGACCGAGGACGTGGCCCTAAACCAACTAGTAGACCACTAAAAGTATCAAGTAGCCTAGGGTCTCCCAATTAAATGTACCTAGGTAAGTCTGGCTTGAAATGAGGAAACAGATTTAGTATACAAATTATATATTTTATTTATGGATTATTTTACAATTGGAAGACAACTTTATTATTCTATTTTAAAATCCAATAAGGCACAAGAACCCGTGACAGAAGAAGCAATCTGAGACTCTAGAAAACACTGCAAACCACGTTAGTAGCACACAAGATCAAACAAGATTATATTAATTTAGAAGAACACGAATCTCACGTTGCGTCCTATAGAGCTGCGCCCAATCAGCTTATTAATAAAATAAATAAATGGTCGTTCTGGTTCTGTAGTGCCCGTGCTGCAACTCTAGCTCCAGAGAAAACCTTTTACCAAGAGCATAACAAAAAAAAGGGGTCTCAATGGTGAGAGCATAATAAGCAACAGCAGCAATCTTCATCAGCCTCAGACAGGGATATATGCAGACGCTTCCATGAAAACTTTTCCAGCAGCGCAGTACCAAGATCCAAATTCTGTGTAGCAGCACGGCTCCCAATGCTCAGAAGAATCTACTGCACACCAAACTAAGCCGACTCTCATAGCTTGCTTGCACACCTGGTGCCTATATACGCTAATGAGCCTGTCAATTCTGTAAAGCAGACGTGAAGGTAAAGAAACGGAGCTGTGATGTGTTCAAGGACCCAAAACGGGTGGGAATTTACACCCACTAGACCACCCGGTTACACGAGTTTGAAGATGTTTCTCTTCCCATCCAGGAAAGTTTAAATTCAAAATGTCCGGAATAGCGTTGAGTTAAAGGTTTTATACAGTAGTCCAATTAAACAAAAACAAGACTTTGTTAGGGTTGCTGTATAAAGCCTGGAACTCAACGCTATTTCTGACATTTTGAACTGAAAAAGCTTCCAGGATGGGAAGAGAAACTTTTTTTTTTTTTTTACTTTTTTGGAAGGGCTGATTTTTTTTTTTTTTTTTTTTTTAGCACACTGAGTTCATATTGATGATGATGCAATGATGGAAGAGACTAACTTGTAATGTGTGGTCTCACTTCCTTTATTGTTTTTTGATGAGCATGTAAGGCATGTTTTTTAAATTCACTCCTTTATATGACCATGGGTGAATTCTGACAGATTAAACATTGTCAAATATTTCTTCTGCAGCCCACAAATGTTAAGAAGAGCAGCTCGGAGGAAGAGCCTCTGCTGAAGGAAAACCCTCGGCGCTTCGTCATCTTCCCCATCCAGTACCACGACATCTGGCAGATGTACAAGAAGGCGGAGGCTTCCTTCTGGACGGCCGAGGAGGTAAATCATCTAATCGCAGACTGCAACTTTTTAATGGATATTTTAAGGATTACCATCCCCTCTGCAGCTAAAATGTTATCATTAGATTTAAATGTCGTAGCTGATTTTCACCTCAGTGTGTTGATGCAATAAATCCATTGCATGATGCTGCCACTTCCGTGCTAACTAAAGAGCTTTGAGTTTGTTAACTCTGTCTGCTCTGTCCAGGTGGATCTGTCCAAAGACCTGCAGCACTGGGAGTCTCTGAAATCAGATGAGCGCTATTTTATCTCTCACGTTTTGGCGTTCTTCGCCGCCAGCGACGGCATCGTCAACGAGAACCTGGTGAGGAACCAGCAGATTGTGTTTTAGAAGGCGGCTCCATCCTGGACCCCTTTTCCTCATGGTTGTTCCCTCTTTCGACCACCAGGTGGAGCGCTTCACCCAGGAGGTGCAGGTGACAGAGGCCAGGTGTTTCTATGGTTTCCAGATCGCCATGGAGAACATCCACTCAGAGATGTACAGCCTGCTGATCGACACCTACATCAAGGATCCCAGTGAGAGGTGAGCTGCTCTAACTGGGCTGACTGGGAGCTCTCTCTAGCTCCGCCTTCTCTGACTGTGTGTTCAATGATCCTCAGGGAATACCTGTTCAACGCCATCGAGACTCTGCCATGTGTGAAGAAGAAGGCCGACTGGGCCATCAACTGGATCGGCAACAAGAATGCCAACTACGGTAACCCCGCCCTCTGACATCATAGCGCTGCTGTTGACGATGGTGATGATGCTGACCAGGTGTCTGATTTCTCAGGAGAGCGTGTGGTGGCGTTCGCCGCCGTGGAGGGAATCTTCTTCTCTGGCTCCTTTGCCGCCATCTTCTGGCTGAAGAAACGCGGCCTGATGCCCGGCCTGACCTTCAGCAACGAGCTCATCAGCAGAGACGAGGTGACTGACCGCCCGCGCCGTTCTGCACGACCCGTCCGGTTCTGGTCGGTACAGCTCTAACTGTCTCTGTGCTGCGTTCAGGGTCTGCACTGCGACTTCGCCTGTCTCATGTTCAAGCATCTGGTCAACAAACCGTCGGAAGAAACCGTCACCAAGATCATAAAGGACGCCGTGGCGATCGAGCAGGTGGGGCGGCGGCCGCTGTTCTGCTTCCTCCTGCCGCTGGGCTCTCTGGTTCCGCCATGTTTGACCATAACTTGTGTTTCTGTGCAGGAGTTCCTGACTGAGGCTCTGCCCGTCAAGCTGATCGGGATGAACTGCGACATGATGAAGCAGTACATCGAGTTTGTGGCCGACAGGCTGCTGCTGGAGCTCGGCTTCTCCAAGGTACGGACACAACCGGAGTCGGGGGGGGGGGTTCTGGTGGTTGCAGGGGGTGTGGTGATGATCCGCGCAGGGGTACGGACCTCAGCCAGTGATGGGGGCTGAGCTCTGCTGCAGGAACTGATCAGGAACATGTGGTTCTGTCAGGATCGGCAGCAGAGCGACACAGACGCCTGTCTGAACACGCCTGCAGCCTCTCGGTCATAGAATGAAGGATCCTAGAAAGGTTCTGTTCAGATTAGTCTAAATTTCACCTCCTGTCCTGTTTCTCTGCAGATCTACAGGGTGGAGAACCCCTTCGACTTCATGGAGAACATCTCTCTGGAGGGAAAGACCAACTTCTTTGAGAAGCGGGTTGGAGAGTACCAGAGGATGGGCGTCATGTCGGGCCCCACAGACAACACCTTCAGACTGGACGCCGACTTCTGAACCTCCAGGTTGGACCTGGGAACATCTGAAGGCTCCACAATGAGCTGCTGTTCACAGGATCCAACCAGATTGATGGCACTGGCAAATCGGAGAGCTGCAGCTTACCTGATGTTGCCATGGAAACACAAACCTCATGTTACACCCGAACTGTCTGGGTCAGGGGGATTTGCACAGACATTCATAAATGAACATTTATGGATTCCGGTTTTTTTTGCTTTTCTAGATTTTATATATGTTTTTTTTAATAAAACACATTCACATGTGAAGGATAATGTCTCGACTCTTCATCACATCAGCTTTTCTAAGACTTTCCTCTCTGGTTAAATTTAAATGAGCAGGGAGGAAGAGAGACGCTTCATTCTCTTCAAGAGAACATTTAAGCTCTCCTGTTTATGGAGGACAACAGGGTGCTGTCTACTTCCCTCTGTTTTAGAACAGTCAATAATATACATAAGACATTAAAAAATCTTAATCTTGTACTGCAAGCACCCTATGGGGGGGGTAGGCAGGTGGGGGGAAATAAAGCGGCTTAGAGCTGAGGTCTAAAATTAACCTTAATTTATATAAACTACAATTACAATATAAATATCGACATCCTCGTAAAATATCCGACTGCCCTTAAACGCAGCACGGCTTTAGCAGCGTTGCAGTTTCTTAGTCACGTGGTCTGTCGTCACATGAGGAAGTAAACAAAGAACCGAAGGTTACTGATTAGTTTATTTCATCTGCGTCAGAATGTCGATTTCTAACCCGAGACAAGTGTTTTCCAGCCCGGTAAGATGTTAACTTTATCTTCCATTGACATGTTTGACCCAAAATAACCTTAAAAGATTCAATCGACCATTTGTGTGTTAGCATGTTAGCTTAGCATGTGTCCATGGGCGTCACACAGACGCAAGTTTTCAGCGATATCTCGGATTTATTGTAATTGTTTTTAACTTAAAAAAATTAACTTACTTGAGCGCCTTTTTGACAATAACTTTATTTAGGCGGAATAATTAAATAAAATTCGACGTCATTTTATTACTAATAATTCAGACTTCAGTTTGATTCAGAAATCGAAAATCAATAATTAATATAATTTGTAAGAATAATTAGTTTCTAGAGTTTTAAGTGAATCAAAAGTTTATGAATCTCAGTTTGACTGATTTGGGTTTTCGTAAATAACTATCCAGTCTACATTTGAGGAGTTACTGTTCTAGTTTTTCAATAAACTCAATTATAGATTATAGATCTGAAGGCTTTTTATTTCCCAATAAAAAGCTGTAATCTACGAAAGACGATTAGAGTCACTGAAAAAATTAAAGTTAACACATTTTTAAATCTTATTTCAGTATAATATGAGAAAAAAAGTCATAATTCTAACTTTAATCTCATAATTCTGACAGCTAACAAACATGTTAGCATCAAGCTGTAGCCATGTCTGTTTTATAGACTAAACTAGCTCTCTAGTTTTAATCACCTTCTGCTCTTCCATTAATCTATTAGAATCACAAGGGACCCCTCTGGGAAGGAAAAAGTCACCTAATTCTGTAATTTTCCACCAATGTGTTCCTGTTCCTCCCAAACTACTCACATCTCTGTCAGTGAAGCTGAGTGCTCCACATCTCTTCTTTCATGGTGCCCATCTACATTAAGATCCACAATTCTCAGATTAAAGTCAGAATTCTGACTGTTTCCCCACATTAAACTGAAATTATATTTAAAAATCAGTTAACTTATTATTTTTTTTCAGTGGCCCTAATCCTCTTTCTTAGTAATCTGAAACCAATTTCAGCGCAGCTAAAATAACCTTTGAACCTTCATCCGGGTGCCAATATGGCTCCTAATTTTTAAGGTAACAGAAAAAAACCTGCCATCTCTGCCTGTTCCTCTTCTCACTCCAGTAAATGATAGCAGGTATTTGCCTGGTGGGCCCGTCCTAATTTCAGCGTCCGGCCCTCCCTAAATCATACCTGACTGAAGCTCCTACCTGTGACAGTAAATAACTGAAGGAGCTGAAGCAGTAATCCATTGTTAACTCCCTAAATGATGCATGCAGTATATTCCTCCTTGTCGTGTGATGCTTGAAGATAGGTCAGTTAATCCACAATGTTTATTGGTATTGTGTTTCACATTTTGGACGCACGCTTTTGACTGTGCTTCTATTGTTTTTGATTGAAAATTGAGATTGAAAACCGTTCCCAGTCCCAGCCTGCTCCTGCATCTCCTCTTCAGAGCTGCAGCCATCACTTCTTTCAGTAATCATTTACCCTGATAAATATTTCAGCTATAATACATTATTATTCCTTCTCTCTGGGTCTTAGAAACCCTCCCATTAGTCCTACAATATTTCAAGCTTCAGAAACAGATGAATGACAGGAAGGATTTTTTTCCCGGTGTTGTGTCAGCGTACCCGGTCAAGCCAGCATACCCATAGTCAATTATACTAATTTATCCTTTTATTTTTTTTCCTTTAGTTTTGTACAAAAAATAAACTTTAAACTACCTCAATAGGAATGTATTCCTTTAGTCCTGTAAAAAAAAACAATTTCAAGACTTTTGGTTGATTTTTTAAAGTGTATGGTGATCTGACCTTTTTTTTTTTTTTTCCTTTTTGTGCATGTCTAAAGGGATATACGCCTGTTGAGGTAGTTTAAAGTCTATTTTTCGTACAGAACTAAAGAAATAAACACAAATCTAATGTCTTGCACATGCATATTGACTGTGGGTATGCTGGTCTGACAGAACACCGGTGTAGGAATGCTGTAAATCAGCTGTTTGTCCCGTGAGCTCATAAAGCAGCATTACATTCCAAATATGGCTGTCATGTGGATTTGGCTGTTCCAGCAGTCTGTGGGGATTCTTAGGCCTCCTCTCATTGTGTTTCTAGCTAAGAGCGTTTTTATAAAGAGAGCTGTTTAGCAACAAAAACAGAAAACAGAGGAAGTTTTATAGCAGGGAACTGAAGACCTTTTAGTAGAGAGAACGTCTCTGTGCTTTTCTATGAAGACGGTTCTCAGGAAGCCAAAAGTTTCCCCCTTTCCTCACATTTCTGTTTTCCTCCACAGTCGATCCCTTTTGCCGGGACCATCCTGGGCGGTTTGCTGCCGGGGGAGATGGTGCTGATGCAGGGTTCAGTACCAACTGGTGCAGAAAGGTGAAAATCCTGTTTTTATAGATCCAGGTGGAATTTCACATGAGACTATAAAAGTTATAAATGTTTTACCCCATATAAAAACTGTCTGCAGAGCTCTTCAACTTAGTGATTTTCTCTCAGGTTCCAGATAGATTTCACCTGCGGCAGCAGCGTGAAGCCGAGGGCCGACGTCGCCTTTCACTTCAACCCCAGACTGAAAAAGTCGCGCGTCGTCTGTAACACGCTGGAGAAGGAACGCTGGGGGAGGGAGGAGATCCTGTACAAGATGCCTTTGAAAGTCGGAGCTGCATTTGAACTCATCATCCTGGTCCTGGAGGACATGTACAAGGTGAGCTGCTGCAGAGACGTCACCGTCCTCAGAGCTTCTAAAGGGGGAAAAATAACTTCTCAGATCGAGTCGTATCAGGATGTAGATTCTCAAACCTGAATATTTTGTTACATCTTATGATGCTTTAGAGCTGCGTCAACTTTTTCCTCCAGAATTCCTGTTGGACCGAGATCCTGATAGAATTATTGTAAAGTCTCTGCTTAGCAAATACATCTGTTACCCTGTTGCTCCATCAAAACATTTAGTCATCTTCAAAAAGCCTTATCAAAAGTAATCATTAAATCTATTTAAATCCTCTTATTTCTTTTAGAAAGTCGGCCGTCTGTATTCAAGAAATAATAATAATTATTGAACTTTATTGATCTCTCACTTTGGAAATTTACCTCTGAATTTAAGCCATCCTCTTGGGGAGCAGTGGGCTGCCATCGTGCGACGCCTGGGGAGCAGTGTGGGGTTAAAGGTCATGCTAAGAGACCCACGATCTAGAAATAAGTAAAAATCTTTTCAATGAAGTGTATTTACCCTTAATTTAAGTAGGTAAATGAGAGTTTGCCAATGGAATCAGCATTTTTACTCTTAAAATAAGATAATTAGATAATATTCACTTGAAATAAGACAATGCGATTGTGTTTTCTTATTTTAAATCTAAATTGTCTTGTTCCATTGGCAAAAGGTCTCTTTTATATCCTCAATTCAAGAAAAAAATGCACTTATTTTAAGAAAAAAATACTTATCAAGATTTAGATTTTTTGCTGTGAGGCTGTGGGTAACCAGGTACATGCGCCCTTCTCAGAGCACTGCTCTAACCATTAGCCCAAAACTACAGTTAGTTATGGGGTACCTCAGGGTTCTGTGCTGGGCCCAGTTCTCCTTACCCTGGTTCTACTTGATAAAGGTATTAAAGCTCATATATCCTGCTTTTTATAAGCACGTCACAGTCTTCTGTAGGCAAATATACAATGAAATAATGCATTTACCTCCCTGCTGGGGAAGATTCTCAGTCATCCAGGTCATAGTCATTCCAAAAAAGTTACAAGAAAAACAATCCACTGGACTTGGTTTTCAAGTTTGAAGACTTTTTGCCTCCCATGCAATCCAGGGAACTTTTTAAATGCTATTTTTTGACATTTTGAATTTAAAAAAGCCTCCTTGAGATCAGCGCTATGTTAAAGTGAAGATTCTAGAACTACAGTTAGTTATGGGGTACCACAGGGTTCTGTGCTGGGCCCAGTTCTCCTTACCCTGCTTCTACTTGATGAAGTTATTAAAGTTTGCTGTATAGGTTTTTTATAGTTATGCTGATGATGCTGGTGGAGATTATCATTCATCCAGGTCATAGTCTTTCCTAAAAGTTAAAAAACAAACCATTCGACTTTGATTCCTTCCCATTACCATGTCAACCCCTGTTGCTACGCAGGGGAACAAAATATCTCTCCAGGTCAGCCAGGCCAACAATGACCCTTAAAGTCGTAGGGAAGCAGCCGTTCCAAACGTTGCATTTCTGAATTCTCCCGAGTGGTGCCCGACTTTACGAGCGAATAAAGTGAATGTGATCAGTCGATTATCAAGGGGGCCGGATTGTGTTGTGGCCGGTTTGTCGGACGCATCTTGCTAACCAGTTAGCAACTTAGTGCTAGCAGGTTCCCAATGGGAAATTCCATTGGAACCAAGTAGCACTAAATTGGTGACTTAGAAACGACGCTGTCAAGGAACGCTATGGACAGCGGAAACATGCAAGAGGAGGAGAGTTTAGTGTCGGAGGTCGTGGATGAGTCTCCTCCGTCATCCATTTTTTTATTTAGAGGAGGAAAGCGGGTACGAAGATGTTGAGGAAGAGGACGCCAGGGCGGCAGAAGCTTGGTTTGGTGTAGAAGGCTTCCAGCCGTAGATGTTTGAGCCCTTGCCTCGCAACGCTGCCAGTTCTGTTAGCTCTACGCCTGCCGAAGACACAGACGTCCATCCCCGTGAACACTGGGACGCAACTCAATGGGAAAGGAAAGGATTCTGATTTCAACCGTTGCGTATTTTAGCTGCGACACATGAATCAAGATGCTATGACCGAAAAAATGTGATTGACAGATGACCGTTGATATATGATTGGCTGAATTTAGGTGTTCAGGCTGACGTAGAACTAACTGGCCTGCAGAAGATAACAGGGAAAAAACACAGATTTTAAGACAGGATGTTTTTAAAAATAGATATTTTCTAACTTTTGGGACGACATGGTCTGATAAAGAGTACATTTATAGATATGTTTAAGCCAGAATATTTGGAATCATCCAGGATCGGGTATTGCAGGCCAATTACGACCTCAACGACTCCCGTTATTAAGGGGTGGAGCTGGTTTTCCCCTTTCACTCTGCATGTTTTCTAAGCCATTACAAGGCTTTAGTTTGGCTACTCTACAAAAGCCTGGAACTCTACGCTAATCCTGATATTTTGAATTGAAAAGCTTCCTGGATGGGAAACGAAACGTCTTCAAACTTGTAAAACAGAGTCCAGTTGTTTGTTTTTTAACTTTATGCTGATGATACATTTATATATTCAGAATGTGTTTTAGACATGAAAACCTGCATGCCTTTTTTTATTTTTCTTCCTTTAAACTGAAACAAGACAAGTTGAGCATATTTTGTTGATCGCTCAGAGGAGAGATGGCTGCAGATTCGCATCAGAGCTGCTATCAGATTTTCAGAAAAACGTTTGCATGATCTGCTACTAAAATTAGGATTCTTTTGGACTCTGACTCTGATTTGGACTCCTAACAGGATCTATTTTTAAAACGGCTTGAAATCAGATTTGTTGCCATAGAAACAAACCAACACTAAGCTAGTTGCTAGGACGGACGTCGTTGTTCCAGACGTTTTGCAGATTAAACTGCACGCAGCTGTTCGTGTCATCTCTCAGGTCGCTGTGAACGGAGCCCATCTGCTGGAGTACAAACACCGCGTGGACCTGGACCAGGTCGACACCATCTGCATCTCAGGGGACGTCAGCGTTCAGGCCGTGGCCATCATCCCCGCTGATTCTGTGAGTTCCAGTGATCCTGATGGAGACCGTTTCCTCTTAAAGGGTCAAACCAAGCTGTTTGTTTTTGTTTGTTTTAGGCTCCCATCTCTCCTTCTGCCAGTAATACCAGTCTGACCAGCTCTGCATCAGAGGTAAACAAACTACGAAGCCAGCAAGCCTTTCTTCATCTTCTTCTGTTCTAGTGTTTAATCTCTTCTTCTCCTCCATCAGGCGATAGTCTCCTCCTCTGGTGATCTGGTAGGTTCCTCTGCTCCACAGCTGAAGCTGCTGTTACATCCAGTCTCACACACAGAGTCAGCTGGAACCATTTAGCCAACATTACCGTATTAACAGGAGAAGAGGCGCAAGTGAAATTAGGCACTGCCGTTGGAAAACACGCAGTAATTTATAAATGTTTTAATGTAGGTTCAGTCCGGATTAGCCAGCAGGTATTAATTTATACATATAGATTAACTTTCACAGATACAGTATATATAAAATACAGCCTGATGAATGTCTTAATATTGGGCAGTTTTTAGGTGTGCAGTCTTCCTGTGGCGTCCTGCAAAAATAGAATCTAATTAATATCCATCTGCTTTAAATTTTCTTTTTTTTTTTATATAACTGACCTAAGAAATAAACTAGAGCAGCTCTGAGAATCGATCTGCTGTCGTCTGCAGAAAGTTCCCTTCAGAGGCCGGCTGGACAAAGGGCTGAAGGCGGGACGCAGCATCGTCATCAAAGGACAGACCAATCAGAATGCTCACAGGTAAAACCAACCTGAGTGAGGTCAGATCCTCCATCTAGTGAGGTCAGATCCTCCACCTAATGAGGTCAGATCCTCCACCTAATGAGGTCAGATCCTCCACCTAGTGAGGTCAGATCCTCCACCTGAGTGAGGTCAGATCCTCCATCTAGTGAGGTCAGATCCTCCACCTAATGAGGTCAGATCCTCCACCTAGTGAGGTCAGATCCTCCACCTAATGAGGTCAGATCCTCCACCTAATGAGGTCAGATCCTCCACCTAGTGAGGTCAGATCCTCCACCTGAGTGAGGTCAGATCCTCCATCTAGTGAGGTCAGATCCTCCACCTAATGAGGTCAGATCCTCCACCTAATGAGGTGAGATCCTCCACCTAATGAGGTCAGATCCTCCACCTAATGAGGTCAGATCCTCCACCTAGTGAGGTCAGATCCTCCACCTGAGTGAGGTCAGATCCTCCACCTAATGAGGTCAGATCCTCCACCTTAGTGAGGTCAGATCCTCCATCTAGTGAGGTCAGATCCTCCACCTGAGTGAGGTCAGATCCTCCATCTAGTGAGGTCAGATCCTCCACCTAGTGAGGTCAGATCCTCCACCTAGTGAGGTCAGATCCTCCACCTTAGTGAGGTCAGATCCTCCACCTGTGTGAGGTCAGATCCTCCACCTAGTGAGGTCAGATCCTCCACCTAATGAGGTCGGATCTTCCACCTTAGTTAGGTCAGATCCTCCACCTGTGTGAGGTCAGGTCCTCCACCTGAGTGAGGTCGGATCCTCCATCTAGTTTGGTCAGATCCTCCACCTGTGTGAGATCAGATCCTCCACCTAATGAGGTCAGATCCTCCACCTAATGAGGTCAGATCCTCCACCGAGTGAGGTCGGATCTTCCATCTAGTTTGGTCAGATCCTCCACCTGTGTGAGATCAGATCCTCCACCTAATGAGGTCAGATCCTCCACCTAATGAGGTCAGATCCTCCACCGAGTGAGGTCGGATCCTCCATCTAGTTTGGTCAGATCCTCCACCTAATGAGGTCAGATCCTCCACCTAATGAGGTCAGATCCTCCACCGAGTGAGGTCGGATCTTCCATCTAGTTTGGTCAGATCCTCCACCTGTGTGAGATCAGATCCTCCACCTAATGAGGTCAGATCCTCCACCTAATGAGGTCAGATCCTCCACCTAGTGAGGTCAGATCCTCCACCGAGTGAGGTCGGATCCTCCACCGAGTGAGGTCGGATCCTCCACCGAGTGAGGTCGGATCCTCCACCTGAGTGAGGTCGGATCCTCCACCGAGTGAGGTCGGATCCTCCACCGAGTGAGGTCGGATCCTCCACCTGAGTGAGGTCGGATCCTCCACCGAGTGAGGTCGGATCCTCCACCGAGTGAGGTCGGATCCTCCACCTGAGTGAGGTCGGATCCTCCACCTGAGTGAGGTCGGATCCTCCACCTGAGTGAGGTCGGATCCTCCACCTGAGTGAGGTCGGATCCTCCACCGAGTGAGGTCGGATCCTCCACCGAGTGAGGATCCTCCACCTGAGTGAGGTCGGATCCTCCACCTGAGTGAGGTCGGATCCTCCACCGAGTGAGGTCGGATCCTCCACCGAGTGAGGTCGGATCCTCCACCGAGTGAGGATCCTCCACCTGAGTGAGGTCGGATCCTCCACCGAGTGAGGTCGGATCCTCCACCTGAGTGAGGTCGGATCCTCCACCGAGTGAGGTCGGATCCTCCACCTGAGTGAGGTCGGATCCTCCACCTGAGTGAGGTCGGATCCTCCACCGAGTGAGGTCGGATCCTCCACCTGAGTGAGGTCGGATCCTCCACCTGAGTGAGGTCGGATCCTCCACCTGAGTGAGGTCGGATCCTCCACCTGAGTGAGGTCGGATCCTCCACCGAGTGAGGTCGGATCCTCCACCGAGTGAGGATCCTCCACCTGAGTGAGGTCGGATCCTCCACCTGAGTGAGGTCGGATCCTCCACCGAGTGAGGTCGGATCCTCCACCGAGTGAGGTCGGATCCTCCACCGAGTGAGGATCCTCCACCTGAGTGAGGTCGGATCCTCCACCTGAGTGAGGTCGGATCCTCCACCTGAGTGAGGTCGGATCCTCCACCGAGTGAGGTCGGATCCTCCACCTGAGTGAGGTCGGATCCTCCACCTGAGTGAGGTCGGATCCTCCACCGAGTGAGGTCGGATCCTCCACCTGAGTGAGGTCGGATCCTCCACCTGAGTGAGGTCGGATCCTCCACCTGAGTGAGGTCGGATCCTCCACCGAGTGAGGTCGGATCCTCCACCGAGTGAGGTCGGATCCTCCACCTGAGTGAGGTCGGATCCTCCACCTGAGTGAGGTCGGATCCTCCACCGAGTGAGGTCGGATCCTCCACCTAGTGAGGATCCTCCACCTAGTGAGGTCGGATCCTCCACCTGAGTGAGGTCGGATCCTCCACCTGAGTGAGGTCGGATCCTCCACCTAGTGAGGATCCTCCACCTAATGAGGTGAGATCCTCCACCTAATGAGGTCAGATCCTCCACCTAGTGAGGTCAGATCCTCCACCTGAGTGAGGTCAGATCCTCCACCTAATGAGGTCAGATCCTCCACCTTAGTGAGGTCAGATCCTCCACCTAGTGAGGTCAGATCCTCCACCTAGTGAGGTCAGATCCTCCACCTGTGTCTCCATCTATCAAACAGACCGATTCAGAGAAAGTTCTCAGCCTGTTTCCTTCTCCACTTTCTCAGTTTCTGTGTTAATCTGCGAGATGTGAGCGGCAGCAACATCGTCCTTCATCTGAACCCCCGCGTGAAGAAAGGAGTCTTCGTCAGAAACTCGTTCCTATCCGAGTGTTGGGGCCCCGAGGAAACGAACCTGGGCTCCTTCCCCTTCGCAGCGGGGGAGTACTTCGAGGTGAGCTTTCCCGTTTTCCACCACGCTGTGAATCTGGATCCACTTCTGGCTCTGAGTTCTACCCTCCTCTTGTTCCCGCCGCAGATGATCGTTCTCTGCAACCAGCAGCACTTTAAGGTGGCCGTTAACGGACTCCACCAGTTCGACTATAAACACCGAGTCCAGGACCTGAGCTCCATCGGCCACCTGGAGATCCAGGGAGACGTGTCTCTGCTGGACGTCAGGACGCTCTGAGATCCACTAAAACGTTTAACCGCCTGATTATGAAGACTTCCTCTCTGGTATTAACATTAATATTTCTGAACTATTCAGGGTTTAGTTGTTTACAGCCTGTAGGGGAGCTGCTCCCCCTGCTGGTTCGAAGCGTCACTGACCCTCAAAGAAGTTTGTTTTTTATGCTCTGGGAATGTGAAGAAGAAAAGTTGGTTGATTGTGACTGATTTTGTTTTTACAATGATATAAAATAATCCTATAAACTGAGTTGTGGGGATCTTTGTTGCTAACATGACTAAACATTAACACAGAATTAATGATAAACTGTATTTGATGAACAATGATTCTGACGATCCAGTAAAATTACAAATATAACAAACATTTATAATATGCTGAAGATTCTCCATCATCCAGGTCAGTCATTCCAAATGGATTGTTTTGGTTTTTTTTGGAAAAACGTATCATTTTAATCGTATTTATAATTTAGTATTAATGTTTGTAAGGAAGTGACATGTAATACCTCTTCATTACAACCTTCCTGATTCCTCTAACTTATGACACTATACCACTTCATTAATCAAATAAACTTTTTTGTAACTTTATCTTTTGTAATTTTTCATAAATAAAACAAATGTAATACAAAACAAAAAACAGTAATATACAGAAAGACACAAACAGAAAAAAAATCAAAAACAAGGACAATAAATTAATGACAGGTTTGGTTAATTTTCACAGAATATATCTGATATAAATGGCCTTGATATCATTTAGCATTGATTTTACAGAATATATTGATTTATTAGGGTCAGTACATGCACAGTGCATTTAAATTTGAATTCTTTTAGCTATAATTTTAACCATCTTTTAAATACATACACAGTAGCTGCATAATAAAGGCCAGTTCACAATATTTATGCATTTATTATTTAATTTCTTTTATAAACCATTTTTTTCAAAGTAATTTTCCATATTCTCCACATTCAGTTCAACTTTTTATAATCTTAATCCATTTAATATCCAGTGAATTACTTTTCTCTTGTTCTTTTTAAAGCTTGAATGTAAATATACTTTTAATCTGAATTTATAGTTATTGGGATTTTTCCTAATTTCAAATAAATTGATTTACTCTAATTTTCATCCAATTAGTCATAATCCAAACCTGCTCACTGACTAGTAGCAGCCGATGATGCTCACCTTCCTTCTCGTACCGTCTGAGCCATAAAATGTTTTTCCCCCATTCATTAGTTTTCTAGCATTTAATGAAATTCACCTTTTCATCTTGGAGCAGGTAACTTAAGAGTTGCAAGAGAATATTTTAGCATTTCTAACCTTTTTATTGAACATTTCAACAGGATTTGTTTTACATCCCTTAGGAGAAAATTTGACCCCATCCCAAATTATCTTTTATCATGAATTCATGATGGTTGGGAATTTTCCAAACAAAGGCACAGCCTGATAGTTTGGATGTTAGCTGTAAAGTGAGAAACACTGCAGCTAAATTGGTGCAAACTAGTTTGGGGAAAGTCCATCATCCTGACAGGCGACCTTTCATATTACAACTACAATGTCATGGTACTATACACCTATAATAATAGGAAATGCTTCTAGTGATAACTGAACTTTACCCTCTTGTTTTAAGAGAAAAGTGCCTATTAAACATCACAAAATCATTCCATTAGATAAACCATGAAATCAAGAATGCAGAATATTTTTAAAGCCAATCAGACGTGTTGATTGAGCATAAGGTCCAGCTTTATGAAAATAAAAAATCCTTGTAGGCTGGAAACTTAAAGAATCTTTACCTCAAATAGCATCATTCAGAATGAAGAGCTGCGTGTTTGACTTAAACAATTGATTTCTTTGCCATTGTGGATTCATAGTGTAACATGGTTCAGCTTCTATGTAATCATAAGTGCTAAACTGCTCAGATACCACTGGCTGCATACGTTTGAGCTTAAATTAGTGAAGTTTTACAGCTTTCAGTTGCTGTTAAGTCATCGCCCAGAAACGATTGAGACGTTTTAACCATCCAGCCCTAATCAGAAAGTTCTTATCGGACATCCTGGACGAACCAAACAGGCCGGATACATTAAGTTGGGTTGTCCCCGAAACCCATTTCAGCCACACAAAACATTTTCTAAACAAAATGATTCAGCAGCTTCTGAAAAAAAAAAAAAACTTAATTTCCTTTATTGTTCAACATATAAAATTGATAAAAATTAGTTCAAAATGGGCAGTTTAAATAAAAAAAAAAAAAAAAAAAGTTCTGATGCAGAAAAATCACATTTCTAACTAACTTTATAAAAAGTTTAGAACCACAGAGGCAGCTGCTTCTCTGCATGAATTAGTCCCATCATGCACCAGGGCAGAAAGAAAACTTCCTGTTTCTTTCAGAAGTCGGCATCCAGTCTGAAGGATTTGTCTGTTGGGGTCGACATGACGCCCATCCTCTGGTACTCTCCAACGCGCTTCTCAAAGAAGTTGGTCTTTCCCTCCAGAGAGATGTTCTCCATGAAGTCGAAGGGGTTCTCCACCCTGTAGATCTGCAGAGAAACAGGACAGGAGGTGAGATTTAGACTAATCTGAACCTTTCTGGGGACCGAGAGGCTGCAGGCGTGTTCAGACAGGCGTCTGTATCGCTCTGCTGCCGATCCTGACAGAACCACATGTTCCTGATCAGTTCCTGCAGCAGCGCTCAGCCCCCATCACTGGCTGAGGTCCGTACCCCTGCGCGGATCATCACCACACCCCCTGCTGCCACCAGAACCCTCCCAGTTCTGTCCGTACCTTGGAGAAGCCGAGCTCCAGCAGCAGCCTGTCGGCCACAAACTCGATGTACTGCTTCATCATGTCGCAGTTCATCCCGATCAGCTTGACGGGCAGAGCCTCAGTCAGGAACTCCTGCACAGAAACACAAGTTCTGGTCAAACATGGCGGAACCAGAGAGACCAAAGGAAGGAAGGAAGGAAGGACAGACCAAAGGAAGGAAGGGAGGAAGGAAGGACAGACCAAAGGAAGGAAGGGAGGAAGGAAGGACAGACCAAAGGAAGGAAGGGAGGAAGGAAGGACAGACCAAAGGAAGGAAGGGAGGAAGGAAGGACAGACCAAAGGAAGGGAAGGAAGGAAGGGAAGGAAGGAAGGGAGGACAGACCAAAGGAAGGAAGGACAGACCAAAGGAAGGAAGGAAGGAAGGACAGACCAAAGGAAGGAAGGAAGGAAGGACAGACCAAAGGAAGGAAGGGAGGAAGGAAGGACAGACCAAAGGAAGGAAGGGAGGAAGGAAGGACAGACCAAAGGAAGGGAAGGAAGGAAGGACAGACCAAAGGAAGGAAGGGAGGAAGGAAGGGAAGGAAGGAAGGGAGGAAGGAAGGACAGACCAAAGGAAGGAAGGAAGGAAGGACAGACCAAAGGAAGGAAGGAAGGAAGGAAGGACAGACCAAAGGAAGGAAGGACAGACCAAAGGAAGGAAGGACAGACCAAAGGAAGGAAGGAAGGAAGGAAGGACAGACCAAAAGGAAGGAAGGGAGGAAGGAAGGACAGACCAAAGGAAGGAAGGTAGGAAGGAAGGAAGGAAGGACCCAAGGGAAGGAAGGAAGGACCCAAGGGAAGGAAGGAAGGACCCAAGGGAAGGAAGGAAGGACCCAAGGGAAGGAAGGAAGGACCCAAGGGAAGGAAGGAAGGACCCAAGGGAAGGAAGGAAGGACCCAAGGAAGGAAGTTCTGGTCAAACATGGCGGAACCAGAGAGCCCAGCGGCAGGAGGAAGCAGAACAGCGGCCGCCGCCCCACCTGCTCGATCGCCACGGCGTCCTTTATGATCTTGGTGACGGTTTCTTCCGACGGTTTGTTGACCAGATGCTTGAACATGAGACAGGCGAAGTCGCAGTGCAGACCCTGAACGCAGCACAGAGACAGTTAGAGCTGTACCGACCAGAACCGGACGGGTCGTGCAGAACGGCGCGGGCGGTCAGTCACCTCGTCTCTGCTGATGAGCTCGTTGCTGAAGGTCAGGCCGGGCATCAGGCCGCGTTTCTTCAGCCAGAAGATGGCGGCAAAGGAGCCAGAGAAGAAGATTCCCTCCACGGCAGCGAACGCCACCACACGCTCTCCTGAGAAATCAGACACCTGGTCATCATCATCATCATCATCATCATCGTCGTCGTCGTCGTCATCGCCAGCGCTATGATGTCCGAGGGCGGGTGGGGTTACCGTAGTTGGCGTTCTTGTTGCCGATCCAGTTGATGGCCCAGTCGGCCTTCTTCTTCACACATGGCAGAGTCTCGATGGCGTTGAACAGGTATTCCCTGAGGATCATTGAACACACAGTCAGAGAAGGCGGAGCTAGAGAGAGCTCCCAGTCAGCCCAGTTAGAGCAGCTCACCTCTCACTGGGATCCTTGATGTAGGTGTCGATCAGCAGGCTGTACATCTCTGAGTGGATGTTCTCCATGGCGATCTGGAAACCATAGAAACACCTGGCCTCTGTCACCTGCACCTCCTGGGTGAAGCGCTCCACCTGGTGGTCCAAAGAGGGAACAACCATGAGGAAAAGGGGTCCAGGATGGAGCCGCCTTCTAAAACACAAGCTGCTGGTTCCTCACCAGGTTCTCGTTGACGATGCCGTCGCTGGCGGCGAAGAACGCCAAAACATACGAGATGAAGTGACGCTCGTCTGGTTTCAGAGACTCCCAGTGCTGCAGGTCTTTGGACAGATCCACCTGAACAGATGGGAGGAGCTAATGAGACGAACTGATCGATTCTTCTCTACAGCATCGTAGGCTGCATCCTTCAGACTCTGCAACATCTAGATTCAATTTTAATAAATGTTTGATGTTCCGATTTGCTTCATTTTTGGTTCTCTGGGAACAAACCTCATGATTCCTATTCAAGCGTTTCCTTCGCCTCATCAGGAAACAGATTCAGTTCCTAAATCAGAGTCTGATTAGATGATTTACCTCCTCGGCTGTCCAGAAGGAAGCCTCCGCCTTCTTGTACATCTCCCAGATGTCGTGGTACTGGATGGGGAGGATGACGAAGCGCCGAGGGTTCTCCTTCAGCAGAGGCTCCTCTTCCTCAGAGCTGCTTTTCTTCAGAGCTTCAGGCTGGCACACAGGGTCAAAGGTCAGTTAAAGAGCTCAGAGATCAGTCCAGTTTGTTTCCCCACATGTTTGTTTCAAACTCTGCATTAGAAGATTTTCATTTCAGTTAAAATAAATCATTACATATTTGGGGGAAACAAACTTTTCTAGCCATTAAAGTTTAAAGTAAAGATTTGACTGCTGCTTTCTCAGCTTTACCCAGACTTTGTTTATAAATGTGACAAATGCAAAGGTTCTGCTGCAATCTTGGCCACATGTTCTTTGTCCAAAATTATATAATTTTTGGTTAATCATACCTTCGGTCTTGAAAGTTAATTTGCAACCTTGTCAATTAATTGCTATATTTGGCATCCTCAACCCTACGTTAGTGCAAAGCCTTTACATCTTTACTGGCTAGACTTTACACCAGAAGTCTGATAAATATCCCTCTGGGTTAAACCCTCCAACTCTGTGAAATACAAATTTCAAGCCAATAGTATTATTGGAATCCAGGACAAGACCTTATTACCTTTGCAACATAAAAAAAAAAAAAAAACAATGGATATTTTTATGGCAAAAATGAATGTCAATGTAACAAGAAACACCAACTTGCCCAAATATATTAAGAAAAAAACAACAAAAGTGCTTCAAATGTTCAAGTGTGACATCTTTATGCATGGGGGGGTTGGTTCCCCTTAGAGGAATGAGTTTAAGGTATAAAATGTACTGAAATGCTGCAGTCAGAGAGCTTTTATATGCTCACTGTCTCATGCAAGGACGTTAAATTGATCATCTTGCAAGAAATGCTTCCGACTCAGTTTCCCTACTTCACATTAAAACTAATAGGCAGCCATTAAAAATGTTTGATCTAATCAGACTGAGTGAAATAACTGAGTCGATCAAAATTTCCCTCTCACAAAATGAGCTCATTTCATTGGCTAGAAGCTGCTAGACGTGTCGATCGCTTTGGCTCGAGTTCACCAAAAGGTCAAAACATTTGCAGTCGAATTTTTTGCAGCTGAATTTTCACCTAAAATTTCATTGTGTTTATATATAAAAAAAAAAAAAAAAAAAACACACCCCACACTCCAGTGTTTAAAATTTGTCATACAAAAAAAAAGAAAAAAAAAAAGGCAGATTTCAGTGAGACCATTTTCTTCCATATGTACATACGATGCACATCTTGCTTTCCTCTTTTGGCTTAAATATAAATGCATAAAAAACAAAAAAACAAAAATTCAAAGAAATTTGCCTGCATTTGCTAAATGCTACATGGAGGAATACATTAGAGTTGCAGAAATATCTAAGGTCTCAAAACTAGTCAGTGATGTCATGGAAACCAGCTTCTGATGAGGTCCGATTGGCGCCACTTCCTTCTGTTCAGGCGCCACAATCAGCGACTTTGAACCGGTCCAAACAGGACAGGTTGGGTTCTATTCAGGAATGTTTCCATGAACTCACCGTGAAGATCTTCTGGGCGGCTGCGGACGCCAGGAGGCGGCTGCTGCTCAGGCTGGGAGGCTGTGAAGGAAACAGACGTTCAGGAAATGTTTTTATATAGAAACAAATCGATGGTTCAGAAGGAAAAATGTTCTGTTCTAGTTACAAGATACATTAATGTCTCCCAGAAATACAGCAGCATCAACTTCTATATAAAAGTTAAGAGACTGGTTGGATTAAAAAATAAAATTAGAGATCTGAAAAATCTGTTTGTTAGAGATACGGAGCTCTTTCAGCTAAAAATGGCAGATAAGTTTATACAAGTTAATATAATGTAAGAAGCTTGAGAAAACCATAGTTTAAATGTAGTGTTAAAAAAGCTAGGCTGCTCAGAGGACCATTACTTACAGCATAAATTTAACATGTTTACTTATTGAACAGACAGAATCAGACTGCAGAGCTTCTACAGATCCAGACATTTTGTTTCTGGAATCATTTTATTAGTAAAAAGGTTCATAAATCTTTATAAACAGATCACAGAGAGAAGCAGGGAGAGCTGCAGATTTAAAGGGGAAACAGATTTACTGGGAAATGCAACATGCAGTAAAATATATCTCCAAGTTTACAAGAAAAAAAAAAAATTGTCCTGCTATAATTAAAATTCAGCATATTAATAGCTTTTAGGGATGCAAGATTTATTGAATTTGGCATTGGAATTGTTATTCCTCTTTTTTATACATTAATGTTTTTTGGCACTATAAATGTAATGCACCTCTCCAACCATCTATAACTATAAATATCAGTGTTCTGGTTCTCTTGTGTTCAAAAAATAGGAAACCATTCAATAAATTTATGTTTGAGCTCATTTTTGGAAAATACAAAACCCCTAATGAAAGCATTCGGGTGGAGTAACTGTAGGTCCATCAGCCCCCACCCTTAGATCAGGGGTGGGCAGTTCTAGTTCCTGGGGGCCGGTATCCTGCCGGTATTAGCTCCACCCTTGTTCCAACACACCTGAATCAGTTACCTCCTCAGCTTGCAGTCTGTTCCTCTCAATCATGGGCGTAGGTTTGCATAGGGACCATAGGGACATGTCCCTACCAAAATTTTGGACGGACCCATTTGTCCCTACCAATAATTGGATGTGAACAACATGTTTATAATTTACTATACAGCAGCCGCTTCTTTTCCTCTTGCAGCTTCTCTGCCTGGTAGCTGCAGCTGCCTGCTCTTTCCTGTCCCTTTCACATAGCAGCGCATCAACTGTGCTGCGCGGTTTAACTCTCTGATTATTCTGCCTTAAGTTCCGCCTTCTCTCTTTCTGATTGCGTGTTCTAGTCTGTATGTGCGCGCGCGGGTGCTTGGAGCGCGAAAAAAAAGACGCTAAAATAAATTAATATTGGGCTACGAAACTAATCCAAATATTATCTACGCTAAAACAGGCGAAAGCTTCTGATTGGAGTTCTGTAAAGAAGCAGGAGAGAGTTTTATTGATTTGTGAAACTTGAGAAATGTAAGTTAACAACGTTAGGATTTCTTTTATTTTATCTTTTAATCAGATAGCCAAAGGCTCCTTAAAGAAGATCTTTTATGAAATGAAACCAGGTGAAAAAGAAACGTTTCCTTTGGAGGAGTTCTGGTTGTAGAATATTGACAGACAAAAACTTACATATTTTTTACAATCTTGGTATAATTCCTGCTCTAAGTGGGTCGCTCTGTCGGCTAAAGGCACATTTTAGTGGCCCTATACTCAAGTTTACGATTAATCAATTACTAAATTAGTTCACGATTATTTAAATATTTTTTTAATATCATTAATTGTTTCAGCCATATATAAAATAAATGAAATTAGCTACACAGAGTAACTACAGCCCAGATGTACAACTTCTAATATTAATATTTTAAATGCTCAGTGTCAGTTCCTCTTCTAGTTCCAGTGCACATGTAAATACTGAATGTATTATTTTGCATGATCCAGAGAGAGCATATTAGATTAAAAAAAAATAAGAGTGGGTTTTACCTCTGCACAATTCTATATCTTCAGAAGAAAACACAGGATAAATCCACATATTATAGACTATATTTGGTTAAACAGACACTGTCTTAGTAGCAGGTAAATTTAAATGCAATCCTTTTCAAAGTGGAAAAAGTCCTAATTCCACATTCATCAGAGCCAGTGATGCTTTAAACATTGATAAACAGCATGTAGTGCTTATAAGATTTGTATTAATGTAGCAAGAAATGCTGCTGTTCTCTTTAAACAAAATGAGCCCTGAAGCTCACATTAAGCATAAAAAAGAGCATGCATATTTTTGCAAAGGACCAATGAAACTGAAGAATAGTGTCCCTACCAAAGTTGAAATCAAACCTACGCCCTTGCTCTCAATCATCTAATTACTGGATCCAGGTGTGTTGAACCAAGGGCATATCTAGAAACAGGAAACCGGCCCCCCAGGAGTTGGAATTGCCCACCCCTGCCTTAGAGTGTCCCCACCAGCTTTTATTACAGAGTTACTCCCTGGGGTGCATTAACAGCGATGCCTGGAACCCATAGAGCTAAACACCATTGGTGTGCGCGTCGTTTCCATAAAGTCATGTGACCAATACAGGAGCTGTTTCTAACTCACTAAACTGATAAAAAAAAAAAAAAAAAAAATTAACATGATGCATCTGCTTAAAAAAAAAAAGTAAAAATAAAATCTCACCTTTTCAGTTTATCATAAAAAAAAAAAAGTCAAGAATTTGAGCAGCCTGAAAGGAATAGGAAAGTTTCAGCCGTTGCATTTTTAATTTTATGACTGTCACTTTTCCTCAGTCACTCAACTTAAAGTTAATTTCAAATTGACTCTTAGTTTATTTACCATTTATACATAACTTATTTCTTTAAAAATATTTAAAATCCCAGTCCACCAGCAGCCTAATTACCCCCTAAATTTACACTTTATGATACATGTTCACATTTATTGGCTGCATCTAAAAATATCAAAAACATTTTCAATTTAAACTCAAATATGAAATAATACAATATAAACTACAATAACTTAAATTCTATCATTTTTTTAGGGCATCAGATCAATTCAGTTTAGTCTGTCCAATCAGCTGCCTGTAGTGTCTTTAAATGTCCAGCAGGTGTCAGTATTCTGCGAGAGCTTCAACGCAGCATCAATAAAGTTTGGCAATGAAACGCTTCAAACTGCGTCATTAACCCTTCGCTAATGTTTTCACATATAAACGAGCCGTTGGTTCGGAAGGGAAAAAAGTTCTGTTCGTAACTCACCGTGTTCTCTTTATCCAGAGACCGGCCGTCCATCTGAGCGCTGAGCTTCTGCTGGTTCATCACGGAGAGCGGGGAGCGCGTGGACTGCATGTCGTTACCGTTTCACAACAACAACAAAATCGACAAATAAGGTTAAAAAAGGCAACGCAGGAGAACCTAAAAATTAAGGAATTAAAATGTCCGACAGCAGAATGAAGCCGATCTTCTACCACCTGCTTTTATATTAAAATCTTGGCGCTAGAACTCAGTCTGACCAATAGGAGGCCAGCTCGTTCTGTCCCTTTAAATGGAGCAGCGAATCAGACCGCGTCCAGCGTTCACGTGACCCGCTGTGTCCGGCTGACTAATCAGCATTTAAAGCAGGTCTGGTTCTGTTGGTTCGGTCCTATTAAAAACACAAACCTTTGAATAAAATAAATAAACTTTGATTCATTCATCTGACTACTAACGGTCTGCTAGTTCTGCGGAGGGAGAAATGAGAACGGAAAGCTGCATCCCTACTACTTCCGGTTAACAAAATACTCATAAAATAATAAAAAAACAACAATGAAAGTTAAAACTACGGAAGAGGATTAGAGCCACTGAAAATAATAAAAAAAGTTAACTGATTTTTTTATTTTATTTCAGTATAATATCACACAATTCTGACATTAATCTCAGAATTCTGACATTAACATTTTTTGCAGTGTATCACAGTGTTATTCTGGTACGACTTTAACCTCCTTATGTTACGATTCTAACCTCATAATTCTAATTAGTTGAGTAGAGTACCCAAAAATTGAACTGGAGTCAAAGTAGCAGCACATCATATATTTACTCAAGTAAACGTATTTGGTAAAAGGCAACTCAAGTAGTGAATAAGTGATTAACTAAGCATTATCATAACAACATTTACAAAATAATTATTTCCAAAAAAACAAAAACAAAAAAAACAATCCACTGAATTTGGTTCCAAGTTTGAATACGTTTCTCTTCCCATCCAGGAGGGTTTTTTCAATTGAAAATGTCAGAAATAGCGTTGAGTTCCAGGCTTTATAGAGTGGACCAAAATCAAAGCCTTATTTTGGCTTAGAAAACATGCAAATTGAACAGTCTTCAACCTTGGAAAAAGAAGTCCAGTCGATTGTTTTTGAACTTTTTTGGATTGACTATGACCATGATGACTGAGAATCTTCACCAGCATATTATACATGTTTGTTAAATTTGTAATTTTACTGGATCGTCAGAAATCATTGTTCATTAAATGCACTTTATCATTAATTCTGTGTTAATGTTTAGTCATTTTGGTAACAAAGATCCCCACAAGTCAGTTTATAGGATTATTTTATATAATTGTAAATACAAAATCAGTCACCAACTTTTCTTCTTCATAAAAAAAACATCCATAAAAAACAAACTTCTTTGAGGGTCAGTGACGATTCAAACCACCAGGGGGAGCAGTTTCCCTACAAGCTGTAACCAACTAAACCCTGAATAGTTCAGAAAATATTAATGTTAATACCAGAGACTGTGACCATGATGACTGGGAATCTTCACCAGTAAATTTACAAAATAATGTACAAGTTGATAAAATATTAAGAGATGTGCAAATACTGGTGTTTCAAATAATAAGAATTAACAAATTAGGCATAAAGGGCAATCTTAAAACTACATTTTTTTTGTATAAACGTGCTAAATCAGTAGTTAAAGTATGTAAGAGGTGGTAAAATTACAATAGACTGTACTTAATTGTTACTCAACCTCAGATATAACACGGCAGAATTAATAGATGGAAAAAACATTTAACCAATAATCCTTCAGTACAAAAAAACAAAGAGCTTCTCTCAATGCATATTTGATTAAAACAAGCTGATTTACGTCAAATAAATTTAGTCACAGCGGATGGAGCAGCCAGAAGAGCACTGATACTTAATCATATTTATACTCATTTAAAAGTAAAAAGTATTATGCTGTAAAAAAAAAGTTTTTTTCATAAAATTACTCAAGTAATTTTTCTATTATGAGTTTTTTTCTGTAATAAAACAAAACCAAATCTCTTTGTATGGCCATTGTACTCTATTGTAGTTAAAATGTTTATGCAGTGGAAATATAACACTATTATCAAAACATGTTGATATTCATTCGCTTAAGTAAGAAAAAAAAAGTGGATTTTTCTTTCTAGATTTTTTTAGCATTGTCTGTTGGTGGGGGGGTCCAGGAGTTAATGCTGTTTGGAAAAACTGGAGGATGAACAGAAAAACCAGAAAAAAACATCCACAAAGAAAAAACTGAGCTCAGTTCATTCTCTTCAACAGAAAGGTGTTTTTATTTCATAATAAAAGAGATAAAACATCTAATCTGCAGGTTTGATCTCCGTGGTTTCAGGCCTCCAACCCGTCGCTCTGAAGAGATGTTTCTGTGAAGTCGAGGTTTTCTTACATCTGTTGATCTGCAGAGAAAAACAGGACAGGAGGTCAAACCCTGCTGAGCCTTTGCAAGAGGACCGAGAGGCTGCAGGCATGTTCAGACAGGCGTCTGTATCGCTCTGCTGCCGATCCTGACAGAACCACATGTTCCTGATCAGTTCCTGCAGCAGAGCGCAGCCCCCATCACTGGCTGAGGTCCGTACCCCTGCGCGGATCATCACCACACCCCCTGCTGCCACCAGAACCCTCCCAGTTCTGTCCGTACCTTGGAGAAGCCGAGCTCCAGCAGCAGCCTGTCGGCCACAAACTCGATGTACTGCTTCATCATGTCGCAGTTCATCCCGATCAGCTTGACGGGCAGAGCCTCAGTCAGGAACTCCTGCACAGAAACACGAGTTCTGGTCAAACATGGCGGAACCAGAGAGACCAGCGGCAGGAGGAAGCAGAACAGGCAGACGACAGAAGCTGGACGGGAGGGAGGGAAGGACCCAGGGAAGGAAGAAGGAAGCAGGGATTTAAGGACCCAAGGAAGGGAGGAAAGGACCTAGGGAAGGAAGGAATGACCAAGGGAAGGACCCAGAAAGAAAGAAGGAAGCAGGGATTTAAGGACCCAAGGAAGGGAGGAAAGGACCTAGGGAAGGAAGGAATGACCAAGGGAAGGACCCAGAAAGAAAGAAGGAAGCAGGGATTTAAGGACCCAAGGAAGGAAGCAGGGATTTAAGGACCCAAGGAAGGAAGCAAGGACCAAGGGAAGGAAGGAAGGACCAAGGGAAGGAAGGAAAGACCAAGGGAAGGAAGGAAAGACCGAGGGAGGGAAGGAAGGACCCGAGGAAGGAAGGACCCGAGGAAGGAAGGACCCAAGGAAGGAAGGAAGGACCAAGGGAAGGACGGAAGGACCAAGGGAAGGAAGGAAAGACCAAGGGAAGGAAGGAAAGACCAAGGGAGGGAAGAAAGGAAGGACCCGAGGAAGGAAGGACCCAAGGACCAAGGCAAGGAAGGAAGGACCAAGGGAAGGAAGGAAAGACCAAGGGAAGGAAGGAAAGACCAAGGGAGGGGAGGAAGGAAGGACCCAAGGAAGGAAGGAAAGACCCAAGGAAAGAAAGAAGGAAGCAGGGATTTAAGGACCCAAGGAAGGAAGGAAGGAATGACCAAGGGAAGGACCCAAGTAAAGAAAGAAGAAGCAGGGATTTAAGGACCTAAGTAAAGAAGCAAGCAGGGATTTAAGGACCCAAAGAAGGAAGGAATGACCCAAGGAAGGAGGGAAAGACCAAGGGAGGGAAGGAAAGACCAAGGGAGGGAAGGAAGGAAGGAAGGACCCAAGGAAGGAAGGAAGGACCAAGGGAAGGAAGGAAAGAAAGAAGGAATCAAGGAAGCAAGCAAGAAAGAAAGAAAGAAAGACCCAAGGAACGAATGAATGAAGGAAATAATGAAAGACATAACCCAAGGAAGGAAGGATCCAACCTTTGAAGGATTCCCAGCTGCAGGTCAATGGACAGATCAACCAGGACATCATGGGGTCACCTGCATGGTTCCACATGATGATGATGATGAGGGGCTCTTCTCCTTGTTTCACTGCTTTACATTTTCCACTACAAACACTGAACAGAACACGAAGAGTTTGCATTAAAACAAATTGCTTCAGATCAATGTTTTATGCTCCTGGTTTGATGAAAGTCAAAACATCTTCATCCTCACCCAAATATTATTATAAGGAAGATTGATGTTGATGCAGATTAATTATCAATATTGGCTTCTTGAAAATCATCAAACACATTTTATTCTAAATATCTCACTTTTTTTTCCCTTCATCTGTCTCCTGACAGTCTGCTGGTTCTGCGGAGGGAGATGAGAACGAAAAGCTGCATCTCTACTACTTCCGGTTCACAAAATACTCATAAAATAATAAAAAAAACAGCAATAACAGTTAAAACAGGGAAACCGCGGCTGTAAAATACAGAAAGCTGAGCTAAGCTAGAGATAGAGCGAAGCTAAATTAATTTAAGCTAGAGAGAGAGAGCGCTAAACTAAGCTAAGCTAAGCTATACAGGAGCATCTAGTGATGTCAGCGCTTCCTCCATCCTCCAATCAGAATCTTCGAGCTCCTACTCAGACAGCCAATAGGAGCCCGACTCTCAGCGTCCCTTTAACTCCAAAGAGCCAATGAGGAACGAGAACACAGAGAGCTTTGACTCAGTTAAACTCCGCAGATTATTTTCATTTGTAGACAAGGAAAAAACACATAAAAAAGTAAAGTATTTCAAAAGCAGCACATTTAAAATAATAAGTGGGTGAAATTTAAAAACAACTGAAGCAAAATACAAGGTTAAAAATGATATAACAGGTATAAAAACTTACAGTATTACTGTACTTTATTCTAGCAGTTTATTATTTTTTTTATGTGAACTTTTTTTTTTTTTCAAAGAAAATTTGACCTTTGGGGTCAGTTGTGATGCTGGTCAGGTGACCCCTTGGACCGTCACAAATACCTGTATATAAATGATAACTAATGTAGATGTAATAACAAGTGCAGGATTTAGCAGAGAAGTTTTTTTCTTCTTCCTCATAGCATATAATTAAACTTTTTTTGTAATTAAACTGTCACAAGTATAAAGCAATGAAATTCACCAAGTCCAATGCCCGAACCACTAGGTTAACACTCCCTGTTCTTCTTCGCGAGGGATAATTGTGTTGACTTTCCACAGCACAATGGTACCAGTTAGCCTCGTGAGACCATCCTGATCTCACAAGCTTTCAAAGTTTCACTCACAGATCAGTCTGGAGACTCTCCGTTAAAGAAAATTTGGAGCCGTTCACCAAACAAACGTCCAATCAGCGTTGGCTTTGAGGCGGGTTGAGGTGTGACGCAACGAGAAGCGCGACAGTTCAGTCTACAGAACATGGTGGCTTCAGCCGATGAAACTAGCGTTAGCGTGGCTATCGAGCAAGTTTTATCGGAATTACAGAGTATTTCTTCACTGAAAGAAGAGCAAAACACTGCTCTGGAGGCTTTTCTCACATGAAAATATGTTTTTGCTCTTCTCCCGATTGGTTTCGGCAAGAGTAGCCTGGCTTGTGGTTGTGTTTTCGTCGTCGCTCTGTTGGTACGTCATATGCTTCGTTGATCTGATTGTTTTTTTTTTTGGCCCGTCTATCACCAACATAGGCCAATCAGCTAACCAGTATTTTCGCCCCTTCCCAAAATTACTTCAACGGAAGGTTTCCAGATGGATATGCGGAGCAAATCCATCTGGCAGAGTCAGGTTAGGTACCAGTGCCCTTAAAGGAATAGTACACCCAAAACATGATTAGCCTTCATTTTCTACTCACCCCCATGCTGAACAACACTCTGGAGTACTTTTTTGATATCTCAAATGCATCTGGAGATCTGGGAGGCTTCTTGCTGTCTGCTGACATTCAAATAATGGAGGTCTATGGGGCCCGAGGCAGAAAGGTCCATAAAAGTCCACAAAAAACGTGTCAATATTCCTCCATACTGCTCGTCCAATGTATTCCAAGTGTCCTGAGTGGGTAGCATCCAGAATTTACTCGAAACGAAGTCATTTAGAATGTTTTTAGAGCATGAACAGAAGTGTATAGGATTTCCTAAAAGCGCGTTCACGAGTCTACGGAAACCACGGCAGACCAAACCAGATGAAAGTGCGCATTCAGCGTCTGCTCTGCTGATAATGCAAGCGTAGAAGAAGAAATGTGCTGTTTACCTGTGCAAAGAAAGAAACAACGAAAGAAAAATGTCTGAGGACTTCAGTGTTGAGAAAGAGCATGAGTTCTTTGCCGAGCTGAATGCGCACTTTCATCTGGTTTGGTCTGCAATAACAGCAATAATATTAAAATGATCTTTTTTTTTTTCATACAAAGTTGAAAACTGAGTTTTTTTATATATTTATCCTCATATATCCTCATAGCTCTGTGTTTCTCTTTGATTTAACGGTAGCACTTTGAAGATGCAAAAAAAACGAATGTTTAGTGGTTTGGAATCCACTGTTTAAACTTTCAGTATTTCAAGTCCAGTGAAATTTCATGGAATAGTTACATAATTTTGTAAGCATCAGTCTCAATAACACAAAAAAAGTTTCAATAAAGTGAAATAAGGCAAAGATTCATAAAGTTTCATTCAAAATTTTCACTCTTATAAATGTTTTGCTGCCTATGTTATTGGGAAATTGTCTCTTCTTGGCTTTTTTTCTTCTAAATTACAATGTATGGATATGATATCAATCAGCCTTTACAGCCTCAGATCTTAAGGGCTGTACTGGGTGTAGGAGTGTGTTTATTGGAGTATCGAAACATTTCACCACACTGCAAAAACGACCTAGAAATAAGTAACAAATTCTTAAAATCAAGTTATTTACACTTAATTTTAGTAGGTAAATAAGATTATGTACTAATTAAATAAGTATTTTTACACTTAAAATAAGTTAATTAGATACTATTTGCCTGTAAGAAGACAATGCAATTGCTTTTTTTAATTTTAAATGTTAATTGCTTTGTTCCATTGGCATAGTGTCTCATTCACCTCCTCAATTCAAAGCAAAATGACTTTAGTTCATTTTTTGCAGTGCAGGAACAGATTTCTGACATCATGAATTGATGTTTAACCAGAAAGCAAGGCGCTCTCAACTAAATTTCCTCCCGAAGCTTGAATGCAGGTTAGAATGCAGGTAATTCTTCCACGTCTAATAGGCTAATTATGTTGCTATAGAACGAGTGAGTCCACCAGTGTGCATTCATGTGGTATAGGATTCATCTTCAAACTGTTCCCCCTGAGTAAGGACCAATGAAATGCTTAAACTATCTCTATATGGTGAAGCTTTAAGAACTCCTTGTCCAAATAGAGACTCACACCATTACTTCCCTCCACCCAATCAAGACACAGTAAAGTGAGAGGAGAGCTGTCCTCCTGACAGGTGTAAACATCAGAGCCATCCACCAGATTGGCACACACATAGCCAGTGGCGATGCTGATGTAAAGTTGCTGGTCAATTGTAGTTGGGAAAAAGTATTCAACAATTCACCCCAGTTAATTAAATGGAGACTGATGGATTTGACCACGCCGGCATTTTATTTTGATCTTTGCGAAGAGAGAACATTACATCATACAGCGCTTATTGCTTTTAATCAGTTCTGGTCTGGGCAGCGTTCGTTCCCCCTTACTTATAATAAAGGAAAGTTGTCAGAATGAAAACAAATTGCAGACACTTTGGTTAAACAGTAAAATGTTGTGAATAAACCTTGAGAAAGTATCTGGTTTGTTATGGGAAGAAGGTATGTCTTGTCTAAAAACACCCTCATGCAGGGGAATTGTGTGGTCTTGCAGGTGAAACAGGCTAAGTGACAACTTTTATAGTTTGTAATAGCATAAATTAATATATGAAATAAGAGAAACTCCATTTTCCGACCACACATGGTGACCCATTTCTTATAGCACTACAAAAACCATCAAGAATTAAGAAAAAACTTTCTTAAATTGAATGTATTTACCCTCAATTTTAGCAGATAAATAAGATGATTTGCCAATGGAATGAGTATTTCTACTCCTAAAACAAGATAATTAGATAATATGCACTCGAAATAAGAAAAAGCAATTGTTTTTTTCTTATTTTAAATGTAAATTGTCTTGTTCCATTGGCAAATTATCTCAATTACCTCCTCAAATCAAGAAAAAAATGCACTTAATTAAAGCAAAAATGACTCATTTAGATTTCCATTTTTTGCAGTGAGCACTCTAGGTGCTGTTCATGACCCAATCTAAAGACCACATCAGAAAATGTTTGCAGCAGTAGTCTGTTACCTTGCTGGATATTAAACACCTGGGTCCATTTTAGTGCTTGGAGTACCCAAATTCAATGACTTGGGGGCAGAGTTAAGGCATCTATCAGTCTGCAAGGGTTACAAAGTACATTTTTTACTGCTTTTGGGCCCCAATGAATCACATTCCCAACTAATATCCCGAAATGAAGAAAACTGTGAATTTCTCTCGGAAAGCTACCTCAAGAATGCATCAATAGCTAATCCAGGAGGATAACCAGCACTGCTCTTGTGCTCTGAGAAGGTTGCAAGTAACCGGTAGGATCCCCACTGCCTCCACTGTGGGTTCCTGAGTAAGATCGTTAACCCCCACTCTGCTCCTCGGGCGCCGCAATATGGCAGCTCACTGCTCCCCAAGAGGATGGGTTAAAATGCAGAGAATGTAGGACAATAAGAGGATTTACATTTACACAGCGCTGGTGAAGATTCTCATTCATCCAGGTTATAGTCATTCCAAAAAGAAAGAAAATTGAAAACAATCCACTGTACTTTTTTTTCCAAGTTTGAAGACATTTCGCTTTCCATCGAGGAAGCTTTTTCAATTCAAAATGTCAGGAATAGCGAATAGCGATTATTGAACATAAAGTGTATCTTCTTTTAAGCCTTTTTTATACTGCTATAGACTGACCTATATCTATAACATAAAGTTAAACGCTGTACAGATACACCAGTTCATGTAACTCAGGGTTATTACATTTTACTCCCACTGCAGTACCAACAATCGACCACATCATGTCGCTGTTTCCCACATAATTGCATTTCCGACCAGACTCCGCGATATTTTATTTTTTTAAGTCGCTCACTTTGGCTGCAGCTGAATGTCGGTTAGTAAGGCAAATAGACGGAGACGTAAAGTTTCCCTTACAGGCCTCTGTGGTCTCCCATTGGTCACGCCCCCTCAGCGCGGCCCTCCGATTGGACGCTGGTTGTTACCGGGTGGTGTGAGGAGAGAGCAGGGAAGCTACGGTTGTGTAACTTCATACGTCAGTCCTGCGGTCCTAAACAGGATGCTGTATTTATATAAGACTCTGCAGCCCATAAAGGAGAAATAACTTCAGTTTGTATGCAACATTTTATCCCTTAAAGCCACCAGAACCAGCAAGCTTTATTACTTCAGTTTACTGGAAGGGTTATAGGTTAAAGTATATTTTTCTATTTCTTAATATACCAGATGACACAGTAAACAAATCTACATAAAAAAGGAAAACAAGTATTAAAAATAGGCTGGAAAAAAAGAAAGCACAAATAGACTTAATTGACAATAAATAAATAAAAAACGTTAAAACTACAAAATAGACCTATCATCAATCCAGAAAAGACAAAGAAAAGCACTAATCTGCATCAGTAACCTGGGTTGGCTCCACCATGGATTAGCTGGACTCTACAGCAGCCTGACCTATAGTTTTCTCCGGTTGGTGATGTAGCCTACCATCCTTCAAGGTGACATTTAGGAAACCGGACGATACACGACATCCTTCAAGCCTTTTTTTCAACTTTATACAACTTCCTTCTCGTTGATCATTTGACTGCGGTAATTCTGTTTACATTTAGGATTTCTGATTTTCAGCTTCCCCTGATTGCAACGCTAACTGGGTTTATTTCAGTCTCACTCTGGCTTCTCTGAATGTAAAGAAAGATCACACAAAATCTTTATTTTAAGAATTTTTTTCCCTTGTTATTAAATGGAGCCTAGGCAGAAGTTTAACTGAAGAAACGATTACTATTCACCTCATTCAAGGACCAATCAACATCCATAGTGCATTGTAAAAGGGACTCCAATCCACATCTCATAGAAGGCACAGGCGGTGGCCGCACTATGTCGGACTTCTGTATAGATGACCTTCGTAGCTAAAGCCTCATCAGAGTGTCATTCCTCCTGGACTCTTACCTGTCTCATTTTATGTTGTATATATGTTGTATGTATGTATATATGTCTCATGTTCATGTTGTATATATATAAAACTGTAACTGAAGCATGTAACAAAAGTAATTTCCCTCTGGGATTATTAAAATATTTATTAAAATATTTCCCAGCCCACCGGATTTCTTCATACAACTCAAGCAGACCGTCTCCACTCCACCAGTTTCAGGCTTGGGGGGGAAAACATCCCTGTTATTTACTCCTGTTTATGCACATCAAGCAATTTCTGCCCTAATTTTCCCTGCCAAGGTCTGAGCATCAAAGACTTCAGTAATTGTAACTATAAAACTCTTCTGTCTTTTTTTTTCCATGTGAGTTTTTCAGATTGAAATGTACTTTAAGACAATCTGCTTTTCAGGTTAAAATAATTCCGAGGGTCAGCAGAATATTAGCAATGCTATGGATGCCCATGCTTATTCTATTGGCATGGGCGGTTCTAGACATGGGTCAGCGGGGGCCAGTACTCCTGTAGATCATGTCGTGGCCCCTGTACTGAAGACATAACACTCAAAGAAATTCTAATGATGATATTCGCTGGAACAGACATGGTTACTGATAGGTCCTTTGGATCTATCTTATTTTGTTTCTTTACAAATACATCTTTACTAATTATTTAAAAACAATAAGGTTATAGCTTTATTGGTATTGAGATAGGATCTCTAAATGTTTTTTTCAAAACAAAATACTCTAATTTTTACAGCTGAATTGATCAGTTTTCTTGAGTTCTAATTCAGATTTGATAGAAAATGTTAATTTTTCAACTTAAACTAAGTCAAAAATATGTAAACTCATAAATTCTGAATGTATATTGACCTAATAAGAATTTTAATTAAACCTAATTGGTATATTTGGTCTAGAAGTGTCACTGTCTATTGGACCTATACTTTGATACTCTAATTAAGAACAGGAGTTTCTCACTCCAGCTTCATGCTATTCTATATATCTGTAGCATTTATATGTGGAGTACCACAGGGCTGTGTTTTAGGTCTTTTCATCTTCACACCTGCTTCCATCTTTCATTCTAAGCAGGCCCTGCTTGAAACCTTCTAAGACTCTGTGGTGGCATCAGCCCTCCTCTACGCTGCTGTCTGCTGGGCCCCTGGCAGCGCAGAGTGGGACAGAAAGAGACTGAATTAGCTGGTGAGAAAGGCTACTTCTGTCCAAGGCTGCACTCTGGACTCAGTAGAGGAAGATGCTGTCCAAGCTTACATCCATTTGGCACCTTCTTCTTCTTCTTTGACTATTTGAGCTGATGTAACGAGTAAATTCAATAAATAAAGTCAATCCTTTTTGATAAAGCTTATAGTTAGAGTGGCTCAGGTTATCCTGAGCTATCTCTATAGTTATGCTGCTAAAGGCTTAGACTGCTGGAGGACATAGGGACCCCATTTCATCATTCTGCTTCATTCTATCTCTATTCTCCCACTCTGCAGAATCTGTTAGTTCAATCTCTAACGTTCTGCTCTCTCTGCTTTTTCTCATAGTAGCTTCATCTGGTCTGTTCCTGTTTGGCTGTGACTCCATCCTGGAGAGAAATATCAGCTGTGCTGCTGCCATCAACACCTTTGTTTCTAGATGTTGGAGCTTGGCCTGTTTTCCAGTGTAGTCCTGTTTCTCTGACTGTGACTAACTGGATGTGCTCTCTTCATCCTCTGACATGGGAGCTGGCTCGGAGCTCGTCTGCCTGGCTGTGTGTTTCCTGGACGGGGCCGCCTGTGGAGCTGGTTGACAGTTGCCTTTTGTATCTATGCTTCTTTTTCTACGTCTGCTTCTGTCTCCTTGAACCCCAGTCGGCCTCAGCAGATGGCCGCTCACACTAAGCCTGGTTCAGCTGGAGGTTTCTTCCTGTTCAAAGGGAGTTTTTCCTCTCCACTGTCGCTGCAAGCATGCTTAGTGTGAGGGATTGCTGAAGAGTCAACGAGTCGATGCAATCAACTGGTTTTCGACTGGATGATCTGGTGAACTGTAAAGTGCCTTGAGATGACTGGTGTTTTGAATTGGTTCTATAGAAATAAATTGAATTGAATCAATCAATCCAACATTTTTAGACCGACTTAAAGTAAAATCAGTGTTGGAGGAAACTGAGCAAACACTACTTCCTATGCTGCAACATCATTTATCAATTGTTACCAAATCTAAGAAGAAACCTACGCTCCCTTCTACCCAGTCATAATTTCAATTCTATTCAGTTTATTTCTATAGCTCCAATTCACATCATGTCATCTCAGGTCACTTTCCAGTTCACCAGATCATCCAGTCAGATTGATTCAAAGTTTTCTATCCAAGGAAAACCCGTTGATGGCATCGCCTCATTGACTCTTCAGCAATCCCTCATACTAAGCATGCTTGTAGCGACAGTGGAGAGGAAAAACTCCCTTTGAACAGGAAGAAACCTCCAGCTTATCGATGGAAAGCCCAAAGATGGATCTCTTTGATATTTGCGTTGCTTAGTCATGTTCTCTCTTTACTTTAGTTTCCTTTCTTCCGTTGAAGCCATTGCTGCAACTTTCCCATCTAAAACAAAACAACCAAGAGATTCTCTGTAAAGTTTTATTATAAAAGCTATATTGTTCACTGTTATCAACAAACAAATGTATGGAAATGGGATTACTCTGATATAAACCGTTATTGTTAAGAATAACATTCAATAACATTAGGTATTCTTACTGGCTACACTATGGGCCAAATCAAGAAAATAAAAAATAAAAATAACAGACTTTTTATCTCAACAAAGAATGTTAAATAATCATAATAATAATAATAATAATGAATAGAACAAATATAGGTAGTATCACAGTGATGAATACTGTCCACAGACATTAAAAAAAGAAATATCAATAAATGGAGACTGGAATACATGTAACATTCATATAGATATCAGTATATTTACATTATGTACAAAAAACAAACAGAAGTCGGCTAGTAACAGAAGCACGATACAGAAGCTTTGGCAAACAATAAATCGTGTGCATACGTTTTGCTAAATGTGACATATACACATGAAGTAAACATCATACATGGAGAGAGTATAAAAAGGTAAGATTTTTAGCTTTAAAAATCCAGTGCAAAGTCAGGTTTTTGTGGGTTTCTGTGTGTGGATGAGTAGCAGCCTTCATGTCCTCCTCCTTCCGTTTGCAGCGAGTTTCGTGGTTGTGGGAGCAGAATGTCCTGAGTAGAGCGGAAAAGCTGTGTGTCCGGGTTATGGCAGCGCTCGGATCTTATACAGATGTTTGAAAATGTCTGGAGTGACTGTGGTGCGTAGGTGAAGCGCTACTTCGGTCTGACTAAGAGGTTGTAGCGCTTCCTCCATGACGGGGGACGGACGTCTTTACAGGAAGTTCTTGATCTCGGTTCGACGCAGTTTTTCGGACCTTGTTCTGATGTCTGTAAACGTAGCCGGGGGCCTTAGGACGATCCTGGTGGAGCTGATCCTAACCCTTCGGGAGTCCTGAGTTGGCCCTATGGTCTCCGCTAGTCTTTTCAGTTGGCGGCCGGGACTAGCACGCCAACAGGAAGTGCGGGGGCTTTGTTTTGGCTCTTGGGCGCGGCTCCTTTGATGAGGTCTCTTGTTTCGGCGGGCCACGCCGACGCCCTTTTGGTCGACATGTGCCGCCGGGCGTGTTTGGTCAAGTGGTCGCTGCGCATGAAGCGCCGCTCGCAAACGGTGCAGACGAACTTCTTCTCCCCCGTGTGCGTCCGGCGGTGGCGGGACAGCTCATCGGAGCGGGCGAACCTCTTGTCGCAGCCCTCCCAGTGACAGCTGAATGGCTTCTCCCCTGCAGGGAGAAAAAAACAAGTTGGTTAGAGAGCCACCCGAACCACAGAGCGAGCGCCTCCGTTTTCCTGTTCGCCGTCCGACGCGTACCTGTGTGGGTACGCAGGTGAGCCTTCAAGTGTGAACTCTTAAAGTACGTTTTCTTGCAGCCCGGGAAGGTGCACACGTAGTTCCGCCGGCGGGAGAAGTCTGCCTGCGATGCGCCATTGGTCGTTCCCGACGGCATATAAACGGGGGCGGGCGCCAGGGGGAGGAGCTTGGTGTTGCCAAGGGTCATTACAGTCTGAGGACCCTGCGTCGTCTGGGACATGTGTCCCTGGGGGACCACAAACATGACGGCCCCCTGCGGGACGGTGGAGCCCACCAGCAGTGGTTGGGTGAAAGTAGGCGGAGGAGACTGGGGGAGGATGGGCTTGGGTCCGCACTGAGTCTGCACCTGAACCGGAGCCTGGACGAAGGCGGAAATCATTCCCGTCTGGCTGCTGACCGGGAACACCTGACAAAGAACCGGAGAAGATGGAATGGCGGAGGAAGACAGCGGAGCGGAATGCACCGGAGACGACCAAGGAGGTCCGCTCTTCTCCGCGGGAGGCAACTCTGGGGTTTCCGGTTGAGCTGGCGTGGAGGTTTCTGTCTCGAGGGAGGCGGGCGGCGGCGCGGGAACGCCGAGACTGTCGGCTGTGTGGCGAATGACGCTGGTGGCCATCGCCTTGCTGGGCGGAGCCAACTCCACATGAGGTGGAAGGGTGGAGATCTCTGGGGAGATGGGGGAGGAGCAGGGCTGTGGGGGGCAGGCAGGGCGAGGTAAGAGCTGTCTGGAGGCGGGGCTAAGTGCAGAGGTGGTGCTGAGGACAGTCGTGGTGGACGCTTCGGCGAAGCTCGGACTGTGAGGCGGAGTCATGCACTGGGAAAGAATAACTTTATTAGTCACATTTCAAAGAGCCGCTAACAGATGTCCAACATGTCGTTTTCTCACCAGGGACGACAGAGCGATCAGATCTTTGGGAGGGTCCCCTCCCTCCGGGTGGAGCTGGATGGAGTCGCAGGAGTCTGAGGTGGGCGTCAGCGGGCGGGGCTTAGGAGGCCTCTGACACCAGAAGCTCATGCTGACCAGCGCCTCGGCGGCCTCGAGGTCGTGGTACTCGATGCACGGCCTCTGCTCCATGGCCGCCAGCGCCGACGCGTCTCTATTCACAAGATCGACCTGAAGAAGATCAGGAGGTCAGTTTGATCCGGTCGCCACTCGCATTCAATGAGGTCACCGTGTTCAAATGTTAGTTCCCATCAGTTAGAGCAGAGAACAGAACGTTCTGGACTCTCTAACAAAGAAAAAATGTTAAGGTCCATAACAAACACCCATATACGTATATTTATACTAGTTTTTTCATATTTATTATGAATCATGAAAGAAGTTGAAGGTTGCAATGCTTATTTCATCGTAATGCAGCGACCCCTAGTGTCGGATGAGAGTATTTCTATATAGCTGGCAGAGAGACGGACAAAAAACTTTCATAGAAAGGGATCTAAACCTTAAATAAAGGATGAAATATTTGAATTCAAGGGTTTTCTTTTGTACTGATGCCCCAAAATCCCTCTGTAGATTTTCTATTTTCCAAAATCTTTAATTTTCTATGAAAGAAATAAATGATGCAAGAGAAAATTTGTCATGGTTCTGATCGGGGTTGGAGACAAAGAAAAGATAAAAAAGCTTTGGGCTGATAACGTGTCGGGAGAGAAAAAAACAAACATCAGCAGCAGGAGAGGCAGAAAGGAGACGGTCCGTCCCTCATGACCTGAACGCACCCTCCGACTGCAGGGAGGCTGTTTTCCAGCCTGCTTTCTTCTTCCTCTGGGAGCGCGGGCGCACGCCGCCCATCTAATTACCAATGATATCATAGTTTCCCCACTTTGCTCCAGAGCCTGAACCACAACATCACAGTAAAAAAAAAAAAAAGCAGAACCAGGAGGTTTTCGAGAAATTAAAACATACAAATAATGAGGAAATAAACGGAGGTAGCTGTGGTAGGGTGGGAGGTTACTTAAGGACAAAAGGCTGCAGAGTATTTGGCCGACTTGGACCTTGTGCAGCGAAATCTCAGCTGCACAGGCAGGAAGGGTGGAGAGAGAGAGAGAGAGAAAGAGAGACACCCCCCCCCCCTCTGCTGTGTTTCACAAAAGCTGAAGGGGACCCTCCCTGCACCCAGAATAGATGACGGAAGCTGTTACGCCCCCTAAAAGCAGACCACGCCCCCTTCTACTTCAACATGCACCGACTCCCCCAGAGAGAGAGAGAGAGAAACACAGATAACAACAGGAAGTCAGACAAAACAAAGTCGATCTGCAACAAGCACGCCAGCGCTCCCATTTCCCAGCATCCCACGAACGCACCGCCTGACTATAAACAAAACAGATTCATTCAGACATTAAAAGTTCTTTTTTAGAAACTGACCGACTGAATCGATCCATCAGGACCGCGGAGCAGCTCCTGATCGCCACCTTAAGCCCTTTTTTAGTTTGTTTTTCACTTCCTGTTCGGATCAAAGACTTCTGTCTTTGTTTCCAGGGGGAGTTTGCATCAATCATCACAGCTCAGACCAACATGGAGACAAGAAGGTTTTAAACAATTTTCAGCATCAAGTGACAAATTCATCATAAAAAAGACTTGCAACAAACATTATATTGATTTTAAAAACAACTAAGCAATAAAATATACATAACAAATATTTTTAATCAAGCTTAAATATATCTTTTAAAGCTATGTCAGTATTCGAATAAATCATTATGTGATTAAAAAAACTAGTCTGGCCTAGGTGGACGTTCTTATTTCAACTGAAAAACAAAGAGGACATCATGTGAAATTTGATTTTTTTAGGATATTTTTTTTTGAGAAAAATCAACGGATCGATATTTCCTGTTCAGAAACAAAGGAAACCAGTGAAACCATCAAACACCTGCAAACTTTCTGGGATGAATGGATGGATTGCAGAGATTCAACTGTTGTTAGAACGCGCGCGCACACACGGGCAGGCACGTGTGGTCCTGCATCCGCACATAAACACACGTGCGCGCGCAAAAACCGAGGGGTTCATCGGGTTCACTGTGACCTCAGATAAACCGGCTGACAGAGCCGCAGCGGAACCGGATCGGAGCCGGTACAGAACCCGCAGCGGCTCGGCTCGGTCCCGGATGATGATCGGACAACTTTAATCCCATCAAAACAAAAGATTACGGACCGAAACCGGAGCGGGGCGGACCGGGCCGAGCTGCAGGTAGCCGGGACTCACCTGACAGCGGCTGTCCGCCGCGGAGCTCCGCATGAGGAGCGAAGAGGAGCAGAGGAGGGAGCAGGAGTTCGGACCGCTGGGGTTCTGCCTTCAGACCGAGCTTCAGTTCAGCTGTGAGCAAAAAAAAAAAAAAAAAAAAACAACACAGAAACGAAATTCAGAGCAAGTCTGGCGGGTGGTAACACGCAGCCAATCACAGCTAAAGGTGTAGCGGGCGGGGACCAATCAGCAGTGAGGAGGTGCGGGATATATACGTGACTGTACGCTGATTGGACAGGGGCGGGGTGCGTGGCCGGCGGGGGGCGTGGCCTTGGAGTCAGCGGTGTCAGAGTAAACCCGGTGAACCCGGCAGCGCGTGCGAAGTGGGGGAAAGGTTGGGGGAAGCGGGGGAGGGAGAGGGGAGGGGGCAGACGCGAGGCAGGCGAGCCCGCGTAAAACCCGCGCGGGAGCGCGCGCGGCAGACTGCAATGAGACACAATGAGCGCAATAAAAACAGGAAATATTCTAAAAATACAAATGAGAAAATGATGAAAACAGCTCCGACTGGGTTCCAAACACAAAGACTCTCGGTTCTAGTTGGTCTTTATGAGTAATTACTCCGTTATAAAGGCTGAAACACGCTGAACCTGAACAATAACAAAGGATCAGCTCATAAAAACACTTTGATCTTTGAGCTCAATAAAGAATTAAAATATATGTTTTAGCAAAGAGTCTTTTTTTTGTTGCTTCAGATGAGTTTGAGTCAATTGATAAATGATGGCTAGAGACACTGCAAATATTTAGCCTTGTTATTCTAACTTTTCTGTATCATTTAAATTATTCAGATCAGCAAAAACATTACAATGTTTCAGTAAAATAACCATTTAATAATAAAAAAATTTAATTACCCCTAAAGATGACACTAAATAGCATCAGCTCTTTGAATTTAGACTGGTTTGCAGATTTTTTTAAAACAACATGTTTAGGGTTACATAGCAGCACATCAATTGGATTAAGTTTCATACTTTGACTAGGCCAATATGAAAGCAGCTTTTTAACCATTCAGAGATAAACCTGCTGATCTTAAGCAGGGGCGGATTTAGATGGGGGGCGAGGGGCCAATAATTGGCCACCCCTACCAATTTATCCCTCTAATATAGACAGAGGCAGCAGTAATACTCTTAAGTGGAATATTCAAAACTTTAAAAAAAATCATATATTAACAATTACTTGCAGAGGCGTAGCCAGAAAATTTTAATAAGGGTGGCCAGGCAATAACCAATGTACACTGAGGGGTAGCCAAAAGTGGATAGGTGCCAAAACCTCAGGGTCAATCTACACTGTTCCAAAAGGAAAATTAACAATCACAACATCCATATTTTCTAAATAAAGACAAACTATACTTTTCTACAGCCTTTTCTAAGAAATAGAAGCATATATTTAAAAATCCATGCTGTCTAAATTAAAGGTGTAGTGGACAAAATTCTTTTAGTTTTGAGTTCTGGGGCGAACATCTTATTTATTGTCATTACTAACCTAATTTTATTAAGAATCATTCAGCGTAAAATTAATATTTACATGTACTAATATCTACAATAAATTGATTACTTATTATTAAAGTAGTTATTTATCTCTGATTTCAGTGAAGATTCCTAGATGACTTGCAGAGACATCATTTTCTCTTTACCCCATAAAAGACTAAATCTAGTTCTGAAAAGAGCATTAATTCTGTATTTATCTTTAATGTAAGCATATTGATGTGCATAATTAACCACGGGGTTTTTGTTGTTAGGTAATATATTTACATATAGAAAATTTAAATGTTAAATAATTTAGAGCATTCCACTTTAGAGTCTTACGGTTGCTTAAAATGATAGGGGTGGCCACAGGGGTGGCCAATGATTAGGTAAGGGTGGCCATGGCCACCCCTGGCCCCCCATCTAGCTCCGCCCCTGATTACTTGACAACAAAAACACTGTGATTTATAACGAACATCTATATACTAACATTACAGATGATAAGTACAGAATTCCTGCTCTTTTCAGAATTAGATTTTGTGTTTTATGGGGTAAAGATAAAATGCAAGTCATATAGGAGCCTTCAGTTAAATCATAGATAAATAAATATTTTAATGAAAACATATTAAATAATTAGTTTATTGATTGACTGACTCTATTGATGTCACGGTGGAGAAATTTACTTTATGTAGACATTAGTACTTGTAAATATCTATTTTATTCCGAATGATTATTAGACAATGGAAAAGAACTCACACCAGAAAGAATTTTATCCACTCAAATTTTAATTTTGACAGCAAGGATGTTTAAATATATGCGTCTACTTGTTATCAAAGGCTGTAGGAAAGTATAGTTTGTTATTATTTAGATATGGATGTTTTGCTCGTTAAAACCCCTCAGTGTACATTAGTTATTGGCTGGCTACACCTGTGATCTTATCTATTATCAATTACAGCTATTTTAATATTATTAATTATAACATTATATAACCAGAATGGGCCAGATGAGATTTAAAATGTTGTGTTTAAGGTGAAGTATACAAAAACAGCATCAAAAAAACATTGCACATACAATTTTATCAGTAATTATTAATCACCAGAAGATAAATTCAAATGTGAATAAAGGAAAACATTCCAATAATATATTCAACATTTTAGACACAAAACTGTTCAGTTAGAAGATTTGCATCCAGATTTTTGACTATTTTAAACATTAAGCATTTATTTACACATTCAGAAAAGCAAATTTCTTCAGTTGCAGAGGCGGAGCTAGAAGGGGGGAAATAGAATCAGAATCAGAATCGGGTTTATTGCCATTGTTAGTGAAGAGGTTCACAACTAGGAAATTTCTGTGGTACAGTCGTGCAACATGAAACATATATGAAATAGTAAATAAAATTATAAAAATCTCTAAAAACACTAGGGTATAAGGCATGCAAAAAATATACTAATATATACACTTAAGATAAAAATATGGATAAATATAAAAAGTAAAATGTACAAGATAGTGCAAATAGAGCAGTGTGCAATACAGCAGTGTGAATGGCATGGGCAGGTTATGGAGTCTGACATATAGTGTTCATGAGTCTTATGGCAGAGGGGAAGAAGCTGTTTTTATGGCGGGAGGTTCTGGTCCGTATGGACCGTAGCCTCCTCCCTGAGGGGAGAGGTTCAAACAGTCTGTGTCCAGGGTGAGAAGGGTCGGCTGTGATGCGACCTGCACGTCTCCTGGTCCTGGAGACATACAGGTCCTGGAGTGATGGCAGCTTACAGCCGATCACCTTCTCAGCGGAGCGCACAATGCGCTGCAGTTGGTATCTGTCCCTGGCGGTGGCGCCAGTGTACCACACGGTGATGGAGGATGTGAGGATGGACTCAATGATGGAGGTGTAAAACTGCACCAACATCCGGGTTGGCAGCTTAAGTTTCCTCAGCTGCCGCAGAAAGAACATCCTCTGCTGGGCCTTCTTGACGAGGGAGCTGATGGTCGGCTCCCACTTGAGGTCCTGGGTGATGGTGGTGCCCAGGAAGCGGAAGGACTCCACGTTGGAGATGGGGGTGGGGCTGTCTGTGAGGGCAAGGGGGGACGGTGGGGCTGTGACCTTTCTAAAGTCCACAATCATCTCCACTGTCTTTTGGGTGTTCAGATCCAGGTTGTTGCTGCTGCACCAGGACACCAGCCGGTCCACCTCCCTCCTGTAGGCAGACTCATCACCGTCGGAGATGAGCCCGATGAGGGTGGTGTCGTCCGCAAACTTGATCAGTTTCACGGACTGATGGCTAGAGGTGCAGCAGTTGGTGTACAGGGAGAAAAGCCAGGGGGAAAGGACACAGCCCTGGGGGGATCCGATGTTGATGGTCCGTGTGTCAGAGACAGTTGTTCCCAGCCTCACGTGCTGTCTCCGGTCCGTCAGGAAGTCAGTAATCCACCTGCAGAGGGAGCTGGGCACGTTGAGCTGGTACAGCTTGTCCTGGAGCAGACCCGGGAGGATGGAGTTGAAGGCAGAGCTGAAGTCCACGAACAGGATCCTGGCGTAGGTTCCTGGGGAGTCCAGATGCTGCAGGATGAAGTGGAGGGCCAGGTTGACTGCGTCGTCTACGGACCTGTTGGCTCTGTAGGCGAACTGCAGCGGGTCCAGGAGGGGGGCGGTGATGGATTTTAGGTGTTGCAGAACCAATCGCTCAAAGGACTTCATGACCACAGACGTCAGCGCCACCGGCCTGTAGTCATTTAGTCCTGTGATCCTTGGTTTCTTCGGGACAGGAACAATGGTGGAGGATTTGAAGCAGCCCGGCACATGGCATGACTCCAAGGA